CTCCTCTGTAACTCTCAGCTTCCCTAGGTCCAGGAATGGGAAAGATGGGGTGAAGGGGAAAGGCTGATGAGGAAGACCAGTGAAGAACCTTGTGCAGATAATCCAGAAAGAAAAAAGGATAAAGTTCTGAAATAAAGACAGCTGGCAATGAAGATGATCAGTCCATGAGAAGTGTGGGGAAAAACTGACAGGAGTTTCTGGATTAGAGAGATGAGAAAGAGAGGATTTAAGGATGAATTCTGAGTTTCTACCCTGGGAAACAAGGGGTATGCTGTCTTCAATATTAATTCAAAGAGAATATAAGAAGAAGAATTGTTTGGGAGAATGGAAAAAAAGGCTTTCAGACTCTGCTTGGGCAGAATTGATTTAAGTTAGCTTGGGCAAAAGGAGAAACAGATGTATACTAAATTTGTTGGGATATAATAGTGTGAGAATGTTTTAATTTAGAATATAAAGGAGATTAGAGTTTACGGTACAGATCATGAGGTCTAGTTTTTTTAAAAAATGTCTTTGACAATCTAGAGGGGTGGGATGAAGTGGGGGCTAGTAGGGAGGTTCAAGAGGGAAGGGACATGTGTATACTTAACGGCTGATTCAGGTTGTTGTATGGCAGAAACCAACACAACACTGTAAAGCAATTATCCTCCAATTAAAAACAATAAAGTCTTTGAAATATAGTTAAAATTTGTCTTTTTAGGTAAAAATTTGTTGAACTTAATAGTTAAAATTTTTCTTTTTAGGTGAGTTAGTGAGCAATCAGGTCTTTGTTTCTCCAGGAGGCTTTTAGGATTAAATGAACCACAGAGAAAGAAACCTGAATCTCTGGCTTTCCCTAGCATCAACTCAGCAGCGAGTCAGGACTGGGGTTTCCAACACTCCAGCAAACATTTGCAGGGCAGATCTCCCAGATAATGAAATATGCTGTCCTGGGATTGGGGAAGGGAGAATACTGTCAGAGGGTATTCATTGGTCACTTCTAAACTTGTCCTCTATAGCTGATCATTAGATGCATATATGTTTTTTTAGGTGCCTCATTTTGAAAGATCAATTTTGTCAGACCACATGTGGGGGCTGGATTAGTTAGGGAGATTGTAAAAGGCTGTTTTCAGTTCTTCTGAGAAAGGGAACACAATATGGGCAGCTCTGGTCATGGTAAGAAGGACTTTCACAGAGATTGTTCAGAGGGAATTAGAAATATGAACCTGAAACTAGATATTTGAATTATTGCCCTAGAAGTGGTTGATGGATGCCGTGGGGTAGGAGGCAGTGTGCAGGATCTCCTGAGGGAGGCAAACAGAGTGAGAAGCAAGTGTATTATAGGTGGGACCCCTGCTGACCCAGTATTTAGAAGAAATGCTGAGTCAGAGGAATCCAAAAAGGAGCCTAAAATCAAACACTCAAGAGATGTACAAATGATTATATTTATTCTTTTGAAAGTGTACACAAGATCTTGATGCCTTGCTTTACAATAGCTGGACACTTTTTTTCTTGTCATGCTATATGTGTAACATAATAAAGCCCAATCTAGAGATTTGTTTTCAAAACAGAAGACAATACTTTTACAATAAGATCAACAATACTTTTACTTAAAAAAAAAAAAAAAGAAAATGATCTTATTATGGCATCACTACTATATATACCTGTACTTCTTGCATCAAATTTGTTCAGTTCTTTGAAGAACGTCTTAACGACTAAAATTTCACAGATGATAGAGTAAGAGAACTAGTTTAACAAATTCAGTATAAAATAGTTCAGGACAACCATACTACAGAGTGTTAGACTACTAAAATTGTCTTAGAGAGTTATTTACAACATTATCATAATATAAACACTAAATTTTAAAATAAATCTGTGGATTTTATACAAAAAGTACAAATGTCAATATAAGTTAAACACTGAATAAAACATTCACAATATCCAGTAGAAGCTATTATTAAGACTATATTCTAGGTGGTAAAATTCAAAACAATAACCATAAAACCATGTTTCCTAAACCATTCACACTTTTAAATATTTTAGTAGTAATCACAAGATTTAGAGTTTAACTGTAAAATTTTTCATTTTTACAAATATACACAATTTTCACTATCTCTTATGTAAAAAGGGAACAAAGAATAAAAATTTCTTAGTCAGAAGTTGCCATACTATGTTAAATATATAAACTGAAATTTTCAAAAAAATCTCATTCCCTTAAAAAAGATAACATATGTTTTATACAAAACAACGAACACACTGCTATAAGATATCTAATCAATCTAAAAATATTTCCACACTTAAAAAACATTAAGTACTAAATCTTCTTTAAAAGCCTTTGAAAAACTATGAACAGAACAAAATTATTTGCATTTAAATAATTTTGGTATGAAATATCTTTGGAACAGTATAAGAAAATCTTGCCAAGAGGCATAATTTTGCTGTTTGCATGTCTCATTGTTTAATAATTTTCCCTAAATGCTACAAATGACTACTTTAAAACAATGTTGATATTATCTAGTTTTGTTATCTGGAGGTACTTATTTTGTATTTGGCTTATATGTTCTTAAAATTAAATATACATATATGACCCAGTAATATGCCAATTTTATTTCCTAAGACATTTTGTTAAAATGCTATTTATATCCTAGTTACCAACTACATTCTTACAGAGAAAATGCACATTAAACTCATTACTCTATAAACAATTTGGACTTTAGTTCCAACTTTGGTATCTTTTCATGCTATTAAGTAGAGTTATGAACATGGCATTTTGTGGGTAACTGTAGATACCAGCATTATAATTAAACAAAAAGAATACTTAAGACCCCAACATTGAAACAGAGTAAATACTGACATTGGGAAAATTTTAAATGGCTCATTTTTCCTAAACCATCAGTGCAAATCAGCAAACCTCTAGAAGAGTTTAGTCATGGAAAGAAGGAAGCATGATTTCATCTTCATTCCCTCCTTGTTGATAGCGAACTGAAGAGAAGCCCAACAAGTGCCAACGGTTCCTTCGGAGGCAGAGCCAGGTCAGTCCGCAGGTGAGAGCCAAGATGCTCAGCACAGCAAATGCGATACCTATCCCTCTGTAGTCAGGGCCTAGGCCAGGGAAAGGGTGGAGGAGAGAACAGAACAGTGATCGTCACTGATTTTATATATTAGGCTTTGTGTCACAGATGTGAACACTGTACAGATTAGATACAATAAATGCTGATTGTCTCAGTGTCAACACAGAATTCAAACTCATCATCAAACCCTTCAGTGCTTTCTCATCCAGTTTAACTGTTTTCACTCAAATCCTCTTCACTCCTATAGCAATTTTCTTCCCAAGAAATTAGAGTGGTACCATTATTCTCAAATTCCCTTCCCATCATCCTTTTGAGACACTCATTCCCAGTGTGTTATCTTACTTTGACAGCAAATTGCTAAAGATTGGTAAATGTCTGTGTTTGACTTACCTAGTGCCAAATAAAGTGTTATTTGCTTTAAAGGAAATTAACCCTTTAGCATGACCTCATTGAGTTCCTCACTATTCAATTTTAAGCACTGTTCCAGGCCCCTATCTACATGCTGCCAAGATGGAATCATTTGGTCCCAAGGCTTTAATATCAGCTCTGTGCTGACTTTCCTTCTCTCTCATATGTCCAACTGCACACTAGACATTCCTTATGGATAGCTCATCGCCACATGGATGCTCAAAATTTCAAAACGGAACTTTTGGTTTATACTATTCTAACCCTACTTTTCCCTCACCCCAAATCTTGGGTACTAGCTCCCTATTCCACTAAGTATAGAACCTGAACACTTGACTCAGGATTCCAAAGCCCTACCTGTCTGACACCTGTCTACTTTCCATTTCTTCCTTAAGCCCACATGAAGATGTTCTGTCTTAGGCCCTCTGCTCCATCTGGTACCTCTGCCTGGTGTGACTCTTCTGCTGATCCCAAAGGCCTTGGCTGGCCTTCCAGATTTCAGCTTCCACATCTCCTGCTCTAAGAAGTCTTCCCTGATCACCCCTGACCTAGAGCAGTTACACCCCTAGTCTCAGCACAGTTTATGTGAGTGCCTGCGCACATGCCTGCTCAGGTACCTCTGTATAACCCCATGGACTGCAGTCCACCAGGCTTCTCTGCCCATGGAATTCTCCAGGCAAGAATACTGCAGTGGGTTGCCATTTCCTTCTCCAGGATTCTTTACCATTGCACCCCAGAGTTTATAACTATTGGATATTTTCCTCTCTTAAAAATGGACCTGCTTGGTACTCCTTATCTGTCTTCAGTAGACTGTAAGCTCTGTGAGAAAAGGAATCTTACCTGTCTTGTTCATGGGTGCACCCTAGCACATAAAACAGATACTCTAAATATTTGCTGAATCAATGCGTAAATATGTAGATACTGATTACCTAGAGTTAAGGTTTTATTTTTAACATTTGTATACCAAAATGGACATTTTATGCTAATCTTTAAAAATGTTGATGTGAAAATTTTAGAGCTTGTTAAGATTTTTGTGGTTAATTTATGTATCAATTATGATGAAACAGAAGTTCAAAGTACAATTTCCTATAGATACTTAGGGTGTTGTAACTAATTAAATACAGTTTTGCACAGTTGTTTATTATGAGTTTTATGGGAACGGGGAGAAAGGAAATGAAATAACTTCAGAATTAGACCTTTGAGCTTTTAATGTCTGAACTATAGAATAAAATACATTTTAACATTTGCCAAGAGATGACCTCCCTAAAACTCTGGCAGCTCCCATTTTTCTTAGGAAAGAATTAAACAAAGTTTGGACAGTTCAGTACTTTCCTCTGGTAGTCCCAGACATCTTGTGCATTTACTGTCATTTGTAATTTATTTTTCTGAGGGAAAGAATCTTTATGACCTAATCAGAGTTTGTTTGGATATACTCTAAGGACTAAGTACTCTGGGACAAAGTACAAAACTTTGAACACAATTGAATCGTACATCTATTGCCTGAGCCATTCTTCAAAAAGGTTCCTTAAGAACAGGTTACATACTTACCCAAGGGAACTTTGCAGACAACTCTTCCATAGCCACGCGAACATTCAACTTTTGTCCAAGTTTCATTTGAAGCTAACAAAATGCTACATTGTCCACTGCCACTCTTAATTTTATCTGTCCATTTGACAAATGTCACTTTTGATCCATCTAACCAGTTCCAAGACTGATCTAAAGAAAGAAGTTTGTGTACTGTAACTAAATTACTAAGGTAAAAAGCACATGGTTCATACAATTCATTTATTTAGAACTGTGCTGTGCCACTATTTTTAAAATGAAATTTATTGAAAGTTAAAATATTAAAATCATCACATCAGTTGCACTTGACATATTTCAAGTGTTCAACAGCCACTTATGGTTAGTGACTACTACATTGGACAGCACAGGCATAGAAAAAATTTCATCTTTGTAGAAAGTTCCATTAGACAGCACTTATATAGAGTATGGTGTTATAAATGAAGTGCATAATGCCTACACATTTATTGTGTGGACAGATTTCTAAAGATCTGTATCCCTTGTCCCTTGCTTCCCACCCATGACTTTCCCCCATTAAAAATCATTCACAATGTGCTGGTGAGAGAGGAAGAGTGCTGCAGGGTCCAAGAAGTCCTCCCCACCATGACTCCATTTCTGGTTCCCAGCTGATGGAGCACCACCTTGTGGTGATAGTATAAACACAACTCATACTTCCTTTAGGGGGCCAACTTAGACTTCATTCACTTTTTCACACATACTTAATATTTTGGAATTCACATTTAATTCAATTATTTAGAATTCAAATTTGCATAAAATGTGAAACCAACTTTCTATTACTCTATCAAAGGTTTAACTCTTAATTCATTGATCAATTCTAAGTGCATGGAAACAATCTATTATTCCTTATTGAAGAATTCTTCCACAAATCTTTTTGAACCAAGTCTCTGCAATTTTACTAAGGTAATATAAAAATCACCAATATAAAAAAAATCACCATTAAGACTTAATTTCACTCTATTGTTACAAAAAAAACAAGTAAAAATGTTTCAAGACGGAAGGGAACAAGAAGAGAACTTTCTGAATAATAGCTAAAGGCTACAAAAACACCAGGTGATAGACACTAGAATGCTATGGAAAGTAACCAATGGGTTCCTGGTGGGATACACAAGGGACACAGATACTGCCATAGGAGGAAAACATATCCTGTTGACCCAAGTATCTTAAGCCTCTAAGACAATTCCAGTTGATTTAACCTGATTTTCTATTTCATTAGTGTTTCCATCATTAGTAATAAGTCATTCATTTATTTATTAGGAATTTATAAGCCTTTAAACCAGCAGACCTAGCTTATTCATCACCAAGAAGCGTTAGAGTTAGCCACCACTTGACATTCTTTAGTGAGGCTGATTTGGCATTTAGGACAAGTTAGAACTCTCTTTGCACACTCTACACACAGATATTTACCGGCAGAAAGTTGAGATAATCCAAGCCAAACTCTCATGGTAATGTTATTATTTTCCCTCATTAGTCTGCTCACAAATTTATTCTCCTCTTCATCCTTTATGGTAACGATAGTTGCAGAATGGGCTGTTGAAGGAAAACAAACCCTAAGTCAATTAGCATTATGCCAACTAGAGAAGACCAGGAGGAGAAGGGGACAACAGAGGACGAGAAAGTTGGATGGCATCACTGACTCAATGGACATAAATTTGAGCAAACTCTGGGAGACAGTGAAGGACAGGGAAGCCTGATGTGCTTCAGTCCATCGGGTTGCAAAGAGTTGGACATGACTTAGTGATAGAACAACAATCAAGATTAAGGTCATGAAGATATTCAAACTTGACACAGAGTATATAGCGTTAATACACACAAGTATAGTGTTAATAGTTTCCAAAAATGTTAGAAATATTTCTAGATTGAAACTTTGTGTATATACATATCTTATGTTTCCTCAAAATGTTTACATGTTAATATTTCTGGGCCTTGGAACTACTTAACCAGTGAGACCTTCCTGTATGAACACCTAGTCATAAGAAGTGGGGTATGTGATGGCAGAAATCTGTGTTCCCCTATAGATTTTCAACACTGTCTTCTTAACAACTAGTTCTGTATAATGTTAACTTTAAATGTGCTTTTGTTAAAATGAAAATAAAAGCAAATAGATTTGAGATGTTGGAGAGCATTAGCCTTCCTTTTAATATTATTTTATACATAAGTATACATGGTCATGCCATTGTATACTGTCTGAAATACAGTATGGAATTGAATGAGTGAGTATTCCTCAAGTTTGATAGGCTGCCTTAAACCCACAGAGATAATAGCACTATCACCAGCATCAGGCAAGGGATAGAAATAAAATAATACCAGGACTTGGAAACTAATCCAAAATGGAATCAAATAGTCTTCAATCCGAACAAGTTTACCCATACTTGAACTAAAGCATGTCTTTTGTGGTGTGAAGTATTAAAAGAAGGGCAAAGGAAAGCATTTTCTCCTCTATAGATCACCACAGTGTGCAGGTACTTTACCTTTTATAATACTAATCTCACATAAAAGTTTCCATCATGTAGTTAAGCGGTAACAAGGAGATTTTTAAATCAGTAAAGTGTCTCCATAAGGAAGCAAAATAAATAAGATAAATGTCATCTGCCTAAATTGCTACCTAAGGATGCAGGTCTTTGAAATACTCTAGGTGGTCTCCTTAGAAGTTATTTCACAGTTTGACTACGGTCTAAGATTCTCATGGGAGGGAGTCAATCATGGCTGCTCTTTCATTTTAGTTAAATCTGAAGATTAAAAGTCCTGTCCCCTATAGTGTTCAGAGATGTGGGCCATGGGTCCGTTTTGCAGAATGAACAACCAACGCTTGGACTTTGTTACCCTGGTCAGGTTAAACTTACTTATTAATGACTAAGTAATGAAAAATCTACAATTTTGTATTTACTGCTTAATCAACTTTACAAAAAATCTGCTTCTTAATCCTTTCATCTGAGCATATCTAGCTGTATTTAAAATGGTTTCATTTGTCAGTGTTTTCACATAATAGTTTATTTAGCAATTTTTTATTCTACTTCTTCCCACTTACTTTTATATACCATCTACTTATTCTTATACTGATCATTTTTTACTGGCTGTTCCAATATTCCATTGAGTTCATATATCATAAAATACTTAACCATTTCTGTACCACTGGCAATTAGGTTATAATGCTATTATAATTAGTGAGTGCTTCACAAAGATTTTAAAAAATATAATACTTATTCTAAAGGGTTTCCTTAAGAAAAATTCTAATGACTAAATTACTGAGCAAAGAAAATCAACACATTTTAACTCACCAAGCTTTGAACAAAACCATCTGGCTTCTGAGAAACTGTGCAATGCCTGGTCAGATATATAACAATGGTCCCTGTACTGAATCCACTGTGACTCATTCCCTTTTGCTGCTGGGCATCTTGATGAGTAAGTGTAAGAGGACACCTCTTTAGCTGTAAAAATGTCAGACATAACTGTGAACATGCACAGAAAAATATGACTGGCTTTTAAAATCTCACTGACACCTATAGGTAAAATCTCACATGGTTCCTGTAGGTAAGAGGCATTCAATTTCAATACACATCATAGAGGGCTACAGCCCACACTCTGAGAACGCAATCTTATTAGCTTTTTGGAAAATCATTTTTAAAACTGAGAATAGAGACGAAAGTACTTAACTCTCTAAGATGAATTTAGACTAAAGTAAAAGCAACTAGAAAGACAGAATTGAGAAGAAAAGACAAGGCTGGGTAGGCCTGTAACAAATTTGAAATAATAATTAAAATTCTTTCTTTCTTTGGATTCCTTTTTGTATTGATCACAAAGATCTACTTTTACCTTGCCATAAAAAAAACCATACCCACATTGAAAACTTGGTAACTTGTTTACAAAGCACAACAGATCAGCACTGAAAAATCTGTCTCAAGCCAAAAAAAAAAAAGGAGGTGTGGCTTCTCAGCTCTGAACAATTCCCCTGGTTTCCATGTAAACTGTTTAATTTTCAGTCATTCTCTATAACACAAGAAGCCTGTGTAATGAAGCCTATCCCCCTTAACACCATTGTTAATTCCAACAGCACAGAGTTTGAGAACTGGAAAATAAATTGCCAGCATCCTGTTGACCGGGTACACATTATCTGAATCAAATATCTGATCTGGTATGACCAGTAGTCTCAACCCATTACCATTGTTCTCTATGCATTATGCATGGTCTGCATGTCCTTCAGTCATTGAAGGCTTTTGTTCCTCATTGCAGTTTGGTAGAATTCTTTTCATTTATGATCCCTATGATTCCAGAAGAATGGCTACTGCCCTTTTCTTTTCCACTGAGAGACTTCAGGATGGTTCTCCATTCCTTATTCTGCTTCTCTATCCTGTTTCTCCACTCGGGCTCAATCTTTTTTGAAATCTAGTTATTTGATTGGCTTCTGCCTCCACACTATTCACTAATGCCACTAGTTTGGGCTCTAGGTCTTCCTTCAGTTTGAAAATTGATTACTCCTGGGTAAGTTTCCTAGCTGCAGATGACCATGACAAGTAATCTAAAAATTAACCTGCGAAGTCTGTAAGACTTGTGACAATTCTTTGTTAAGGTTGTGGTGGAGGAAGATGCTACTAACAAGTGCTTGATTCTATCATACGGTGAAAATAGAATCTCTGACAAAAAATACACTGCTGACTACTCTATCACTGCACAGGCAATGGTGTGTGTTGTTTCTTTAGATTCAAAACATGCTGAACACTGGCTACCAATGCATGGCTAGGACTAGTGGACTTTTATGAATGGGTTGGCTTTAAAAACAATTCTTCATACACTGGGAACATATGGAAATGCCTTCAAATATCTTCAAATATCTTCAAAGTCTATTTGTTTCTAGTCCAAGCTGAAAATGGCCTGTCTTAAATGGCATATATTTTCTTTTCTTACTGTTCTTTAGGGAGTTTTGCTTCCAACTCTCACTTTTTTTTTTTCTTCCTGCAAGGGCCAGCCTTGTGGTAAGTTTGTTATATTCCTGTCAAGAAGATTCCATTTTGTTTGAAAGGGGATAAAATATACATTATGTAAAATTTACCATTGTAACTATTTTTCACTGTACAGTTCAATGGCATGAAGTACATTCACATTATTAAGCAATCATCACCACCATCCACCTCCAAACTGTTTCATCTTGCAAAACTGAAACTCTGCTCCAATTAAATAATAACACCTCATTCCTTCTTTCCTGCAGCAATCACCACTCTACTTTCTATAGTAGAAACATCTGGAAAATGTTTAGTTACACAAAACATTTCTTTACTATAAAAACTTTCAGAGCCATTAATATGGTAAATCACCTGAGATTTTTCTCAAATCTATATCCTGTGGAACCCCTTTTTAAAAAGGAGAATCTCACTCTCTGAAAAACACTGCTAAGTGAAATTAAAATTCACAAATTCTAGAGTAAAACTCACTGAGTAACAGAACAGTTGAAAATCTTTGAGAACAAATTCCCTGAATGGGCATATCATATTTGTTTCTCTTCACAAACTATCAAAATTATTTTGCTAGGATTTGTGAATAAACCTTATTTAATATCTATAAACACTATTTTGCATACTTAATCAGGTACATAAAACAAATGTCATGTTTTAGTAAATATACAGCTATTTGAAATCAACTCTTACATTCTGTAGGTTTATAACAAATAGCACCATCCTTAACAGAGTTGCAGTTTTCATGCTTCCAAATTCCTTTTGGATCCAAGACAACACAATTTCCGGCAAATTTTTTATCTTTCCATGGAATATAGTCAAAGGCACTGCCATCAGACCATTCAAAACTTGATTTACTTCCCTGTATTAAGAATAATAGTGATAATCTGAATTCATATGTATGACTTCAAAATAACATTGAGATGAACATGCATACTTTAAGAAGTATAGGAATGCAGTGTTAATTATTTGCTTATAAGTACTATAGATCTGAACATATTTGTAAAACCAGGGATTTACTTTTGATGCACTGATTTGAGACATTTGCTTTGGCATATAATTTAAATAGGACTTTAGAGATAGAGTTACTACACTCTATCTCTAGATTTCTTTTTTTAGGGGTGAGTTTACATAACACTAGAAATTAGATGACATGGAAATAAATGGCTTCCACTTGTCACAATTGCAGGTTTACAATCCCAATCTTCATTTACTCTAAATACTGTTTTTTACAGTGTTGTGGTTTGTGTCCCTGGCTTGATTTTTTTCATATTACAGAAGTTATCGAGCAGCAAGGGGCTGGAAGAGAAAAATAGTTCCCAAGAAATTCATATTGGAAGATTACTTTTGATTTGTCCTTGATTCTTTAATCCTAATTTGCCATCCTTTTACTTTTCCCACTTTATTTAGATTAGGCCTCCATTCTAATCTCAACAGACTGTTTTTTGTATACTAGATGTCATTATCAGTACATATATATATATATATATATATATATATATATATATATACACACACACATACACTACTTAATAGGATTCAAATAGTGGCACAAAAGACATGTTTACCAACAGAGGATTACTTTCAAATAGTGTTAATTTCTAGGGGGAAGTGGGGTGAAAATATACATCTATATTTTAGATGTAGTTAAAGAGTTTTACTTGGCACTTTATATAATTTTTTTAAACTTTTATTTTGTATTGGAATATAGTCAGTTAACAATGTTGTGATAGTTTCAGGTGAACAATGAAGGGATTCAGCCATATGTATACATGTATCCGTCCTCACCCCAATACAAATTTTGTGCTAATAATCCTCTATTAAGGAAAATATCATCACCCCCATTTGACAGATTAGGAAATAAGCTTGCAAAGGTTTAATAACTTGCTTGTGGTCACCCAACATATAGATAGAAGACCTGCCACTCATATTGGAACTCAGATTTTTCTGATCCCAAGCCATTCCCTTTTTACCAGCTCTCCACTGGTCTATCCCAAATAGGTTACAGAGGTGTTGCTGAGATATTAATCTACTGAGTCCTTAGGATGGCTTGGCAGTGTCTAGGGCAGCTGTGGTCCTGGACAGGTGCCCTAGTCTTCTATCTGTTCTACATTGTGAAAAGATAGAAAGCACTGTGGTATGCAAATGCAATCCCAGGACTTAATCTGATGTTATACTTTGAGTTAATATTTTATGCTCAAATTTCCGACCCTCTAACATACTTGGAAAGTTTCTGGAAAACAAAATAAGACTTACATCATGACTTGAGAGCCCAACCCATAGTGGAAATCCGTCACGCTTTACGATATCTTCCAGAAAAAGCTGGCCATTTTGGTCATGAACACTTGCCAAATGACCTCCACTTTGAGAACATGCATTTAATGCTTCATACCATGTTACCTTTTTTTGAATAACATTATAAATACCATCTTCATATGGAATAAACTGTGGCAGAGTAGTATTATATTCTTCCTTGTAGTCAACTATAATATTTAAATTAAAAGTGTTAGTGATTAAATTTAAATTATTTAAAATACATAATTTGGGTAATATTGCACATACAACCATTTCAAAAGTTAAATAAAATTGGACTATAAGAAGGTCAAATGCATAGTTTTTTTCTTATTGCCACAGCTTATTTAATAGGCTCTTAACTATTACAATTGTCTGGGTGATTAAAAAAAGGCATAAACACTGTCTTTCATTTAAGGAGCTCACATATTAGTTGGGCACAGAAAACACCACCTGAAATGAGGGCAAAACAATTAACCACTAGAATACTTGTGACTGACTAGAAAAGGAAAGATTCATCTGAATTAAGAGAGTCAGAAAACCTGCTTAATAAATTAGGTCTCCAGATTTTGGTTAGCTGAAATTAGTTCTAAAAAGAAATATAGTAACCAGAAAGTCAACTAAAAACAATCAAACTACTACAGTAATAACAAGACCACAATTATGAGGGTATTTCAAAGGGACACAGAAGCCATGTTAAAGAGGACCAACAGCCAAATCTGGAAAAATTCAAGGAAAATATTAAAATAATATAGTCTATTATAGCCCAAAGTATAAAAAAAAACCATGAGCCTAAACTGATAAGAATAAATGACTAAATAAATTTTTAGATGGAAAAGAACAGACAACTCTCCTATATAGAACTCCAAGTTATTTATATAGATACTCCCCACTGCAGGAAGGTAGAAGATAACTCTCCATTCCCTAAGTGAGGACTGAGTGTGGTAACTTCCTAAGAGTACGCTATGGGAGGTGGGAAGAGCAACTCTGTCGTGGAGGGAGCTAACAAACATTACCTTGACCCAGGTGATCAAGGTCAAAATCCACAGTGACAAGTAATAAGTTATGTTGAGAGCATATATCCTTCATAGGATGTGATGAGAATGACATTTTAGCTCTTTGGCTTTTTCCCTAAACCCCAAACCCGTAACTCCAGTTTAACCATGAGAAAAAGATCAGCCAACCCAAACTGAGGGACAGTCTATAAATCACATGACCAGTGCTTCTCAAAATTGTCAAGAAAAGAAAGAAAATCTGAAAAACTACCATAGCCAAGAAGAACCTAAGAGAACATGATGACTAAGTGTAATGTAGTATACTGGATGGATTCCTGAACACAAAAATAACATGAAGTAAAAACTAAGGAGAGCTGAACAATATATGGACTTTGGGAAATAATAATCTACCAATATTGGTTTATTTGTTGTAACAAGTGTCCCATACTTAAGACAGATGTCAACAACAGGAGAAACCGGTTACAGTGTATATGGGAACTCTCTGCACTATCTTTGCAACTTTTCTGTAAATCTAAAACTATTCTAATGAAAGTTTTATTAAAAAAAAGAAAAAGAAAAGAAAGAAGGTAGAAGACATCATGGCAGGAAAAAAACCCATAAATAAAGGTACAAGTGAGAAAGGGTATACACTGTACGTGGACAATTAAGAGATCAGCCTGACAGGAAAAGATCTTTACCGAACCAAAAATGGTGGAAAAAAATGGAGACTGGGAGAAAGCTTAGAAATTTAGAAGAGACACTGGTTTCTAAAAAGTCTCAAAGGGTTACAGGAACTCAAAATAACTGATAGTAGGGAATTCCTGGAGATTGTTGATAGAAATGGTGCATCCGAAAGTTATTCTCCAAGAGTATGAAGGGAAAAGGTGGGCCCAGATGTGACTGTGATGGGCTCCATGTTAGTAGAGGGCTTAGAGCAGAATGGCCATAATAACAGTTTTTAAGCTGTAAAAAATTTAAACCTGATGTGGATTAAAAAGTAGACTTACTTAAGGGATTAGGCAAAGTTGAGAAATTCATTTTTAGCCTAGACTGTCAAAACTACCCACACATACTTTCTTATTCATAGAAATTTTATCCATCCTTCAAGGCCCAACCAAGTTTTTTCTTCTCTCCTCAATGCATTCTTAGTTTTCATTATATCTGTGTTCACTGGTGTCTTGATTTCTCAACAAATGTAAGCCTGTACATACTAAATAACCTAAGACTAACCTACATAAAACAACAACAAACATTTAATGCTGTTTTTCCCAACTGCATTCATTTTGCTCCTTGAGATCAAGACCATGACAACAGGGAGTGTGTCTTCCTCTAAAACCTCTGTAGTGCTTCTCATGGTACTGAATACAAGGGAGCTACTCAAAAAACTCAGTTGCATAATGCCCACTGATGGAGCTAATGGCTTTACACTCTCTTTCTCTGCAGTGGAAACTCTGCCTTAGCATACTTACCCATTTCAATTTTACAAGCCAGAATGCTGTGCTGGTGAAAGTATAGTAAGTCTTCAACAACATTAAAGGTTTGAATATCCCAGAAGCCATCAGTACTCAAGCCAGCAACAAACTTGCTATTTTTTATAGCTGGTCTTCCTGACCTCCACTGTGTATATGACAGTGTAGTCTTGTCAGACCACATGAGAGAATTATCTAGAAAAGAAACATTTTTTTCCTATGCTTAGAGATTAAATTAAGACTTGAATTACAGTTACAAGGTTAATATCTCAAATTCAAGTAATTTTCTATCTTTTTTCACAACATTCTAAAGGTTGTATACTTATGTGTGTTTCTCTAAAATAGTTTCCAATTTTAACAGTAAACAATGCTTACTTTTAACCTAGAAAGTACAGATTATACATATGAAAACTAAAATTTACTTACAATTCTATCATCCTGAAATAATTTAACATTTTGTTATTATTTCATCCAATATTCATTTTTTCTACATGTATGTTTAATTGTGATAAAAATTAACATAACTATTTAAAAAATTAACATGTTATAAAACTAATGGTAGAAAACTGGACTTAAACTATGCACAGTTTATGTCAACTGATTTTTTTAGCTGCAGTGAGGTGAATGGGGGCTACTCTCTAATTGCTATGCATGGGCTTCTCATTGCAGTGGCTTCTCTGGCCCTAGGCGCATGAGCTCAGTAGCTTTGGCACATGGGCCTAGCCGCTCCATGGCATGTGGGATCTTCCTGGACCAGGGATCAAACCCATGTCTCCTCCATTGGCAGATGGATTCTTAATCCCTGGACCAGCAGGGAAGTCCTTGGTTGTTTCTGAAAATATAACTAAGAAGGTAGAGCCGAGGGTACAACTGAAATCTCCAACTATATCCTGGGTCTAGTTTCTGCTGCTCCACACAGGATCACTGTTTCCTCAGTCACTTTCAGGTAAAGCTAGAATTCTTGCCTGGAGAATCCCATGGACAGAGGAGCCTGGAGGGCTACAGTCCATGGGGTCGCAAATAGCTGGACTGACAACTAACACTTTCACTTTTCTCCAAACTGCGAAGCGTCTACCTAGTTCCTCTCCATTTTTTCCCATCCCCAAATCTGAGTATTCAAGCATCATTAGAGAAAAGACTTGGGCAACTAAATCCTATCATGATGAACTTATCTTCAGCTGGCAACCCAAGTCTTAGTCATTGCTTGATAGCTTAATTTTTGTTAACTCATCTGCAAGCCATAAACAAGAAACTCTTGAGTGGTTTTTAGAAAGAGACAGGTTAGATAGAAAAGAGCAGACTATTTTTAAAATGGCCAGATTTGGGTAATTTAGCTTCTTTGTCTACCTTACATCTAGCTATCATTGTCCTATGCCTCTCATTCAGCCCCCTCTTTGGGTAAATGTATGTTTTTGAGGCTTTATGCCCAGAAAGTGTTTTTTTTTTTTTTTCTAATTTCAAAACTTTATGATTTTTAGGACACCTCTTAATGAGTATCTTTCTAAATTGGTCTTACTTCTCCTATTATTAGAGTCTGTGTTTTTAAAAAAGTTTCATAGCAATTATATCTTGGGTTTGTGGCATTACAATCTCAAACATTCTAGTCCATTGGCAGACTACGTGTCTCCTTTTTCTAATGTGTACCCCAAGCCAATGACATAAACCCAAAAATGCAACATTAGAAGTGTATTTCTACTCTCACTCAGCTCATACACCTAGAGATATAAAGTAAGTATTAGAGATTTATGTGGGACTGCAGTCATTTTTAGTCAGTCTTGTACTGCTAGGAGGGAGAGTGGAAAAAGGAAATAATTTTTCACCATTAAACTCTAAGCTTGGTGGTAAAGGTATTTTAGTGGCAGGGCAGAGGCACAAAATCTGTCTTGGTATCTGTGTAAGTTATACTAAGTACATAATTATAATTTTGTATGTTGATAAACAAACACTTTGAAAGCTATACTTTTACAGTGTGATAAACAAGTAGTTCATAATGAACTATGAATATAGAAAAAAAACAGTAGATTTACAACTTACTTTCATAAATTATACCTAACATGACCCATGAAGCCATGTACTTGTAGTGTAGAAGCTGCTCAAGAACAAAGTTGTTCTCTTTTTCATCTCGAATACTCAGAATATGTGATTTTGGATCTGTTAAATAAAAAATAGCCAATAATTTAAATAACTATTTAGAACACTTTGATAGATTTAGGAATTTTTACTTCCCAGTTTAATACACTTCAAAACAAACAACAGTAGAAAATAAGAGATATAAATTAAAACCATCTTGTACTACAATGAATAGGTTGAGAAGTTTTCAAACATTTTGATCTTAAATTTGGTCTCATAGAATAGTGGAAAACTAGTAGTTGAGTAAAGAATCTGAAACACTGATTTGCTTCTCCTCACAAGGCTTGAGTTGGTATAAATCCACGTATATTAATGATACAATGTCAAAGGCTATTAAACAAATAAAACCTCTTGAATGGGCTAAAAGTAAAAAATCTTCCTTTTCCTTAGAGATCACTGTTTTACAGGAAGTTTTTAAAAGTTTAATATTTCCCAAAGTATGTTCCTCAGGGGTTCCTCAGAAAAGAGTTACACTGAAAAGTACTTTACAAACAACAGTTAACCAAAGTTAAACTACTTCATTCACACCAGTATTTCTCAAAGTACATGCTAATGTATATTTGATAATGTTTTAACAGGAAACAAAGATGTGTGGCATTTCTCATCCTTGTTCTTTTACTAAGAATCTTTTTTTTTTTTTTTTTAAATAGAACACCTCTTAAAAGTAGTGTTCCACAGAGCACACTTTGGGGAATAATGGCTTGATACCTTCCATAGGTATTTTCTACAAAGTTGATGGGTCCACTGTTAAAAAGTCACAAATCCTCAGTGGACCTCATAGGAAATATCTGGATAACTTTGAGAGCTAAAAGTATGACATCTGTATTTCTTTCAAGCAGAGGTGCTTCTTTATAGCTTATCTAAGCTTTTAGCCACTCAGACTGACCTATTTCCTCTTTGCCCGCAGCCTGAGTTGATTTAACATCCAGTTCCCTAGTCTCAGTGTCATTTCTTTTCCCTTGTAAGTAGAATCCACTTTGTTTATACACGTAAAGTCAGACTAGGTCTCTAATGGATAGGTTAAACATGAAGGAACTCATATACTTTCCATTTTAACTAAACACAAATTTTAATACTTTGTCATTAACAATGCAGAAATGAGGAGATGGATATTTTTGAGTTCTAGTTACTACTGCTAATTAGAAATATTTATAATACACTCAGGTGAGATTCATTTGTTTTAAGAGCATAATGTAACATACAATGGCTATATAACATACTTACTCAGTGTCTGGCATTTAGAATGAACTTCATCTTGTGTTGTTACTTTGTATCTATTTTCTGTTATCAAGAAATTGTAGCAAGAGTTCTGAAATGGTATCCATGGAGTATTTAGAACAGGAGATGGACACTGAACACTGTCAACTGGTTTGACCTCTTTCTTTGTCTCATCTAGAAAAAGAATTAATGGTAAGAATTCTAATTGCATATATATATATTAAATCATGTTCATAGTAATTAGACCTGATTTGTAGGAAATATTCAGGAAGCCAAGAAATAATAACTTGGTGATGCTTGTTCTGTTTATGCTTGAATAAAATGTGACCTCTTAACTGGCTTTCTGTAGGAAGGAAATTATTTAATACAATTTTCTTTCCCCTGATGTGGAATGAGTAGAATAATATGGATAATGAAGTGTTATTAGGTTAAATGTAGTTTCTGTCTTCCTGCATTGCCAGACTTCAAATACAAGGGGCCACTTCAGAGAAACCATACAAACATAATAATAGGTACCTAAATATAACCTTGGGAATTCACCTTCAGTTTTCTGGTTACTGATATCTTCTCTAACTTTAAAGAAATGTTTATGAAATATGTGATGTTCTAAACAAGTTATTGCTCTAACCAAATCAAACAGAAATAATTTAAAATCTGACACCTAGAAAATCTGATTTCAGCTTTTTTTTTTTCATTTTATGAAAAGGCTATACATTTAAAAAGATGCAAATAGAGATACGCTCTACTCAAAGCCAACCAAACTGATTCAATATGTGGTAGAGACCATTCAGTACAGTATTTCTCCCAGCTCATGGCAACTCCCTTTGTGAAGTAGTCTTTTTTTCTAACCACAAACCCACAAATGTGGGCCCCTGAAAGTTGTAAAACCACTTTCCTCTGACTGGGCTAGAGACTGTATATCTGACTCAGCTGAGTCTATCAGATTCTCTCTACAGATATGAAAAGTGGGATTCACAGACAGTCAATTCATCTCCAGTTATGGCTAAAATTGAAAGCTGTAGAGTTGCCATGTTTCACTATGTGCAGAGAAGCAGAAAGTATATAAAGATAAGAGTGCAGATCCACAGAACAGAGAGGTGGAAGACCTCTGGCTTACAGACTCATTTTCCTCAGAAGGTGCAGCTCTATCCCCGTTTCTGAAGATCTAAATGTCTCTTAAGTGAGCTCATTACTGTTATTTGCAACCAAATAAATCTTAGCAGTGACTCATAAAACAAATGTGAAGTGTTGAAAAGAATTACAAAAGAATGCCCACAGATATAAGTTTTCCATAAGAACATAAACAAAAAGGTACACAAAATGAGGCTAACAAGGACTTAAAACTCAAAGGTCAATTACTATCTGTTGACAGAAATAAAGATAAAATACATCTAAAATAACAAATTAATGACAAAATATTTAACACATAATTCTTGATTACAAATATTCACAATAAATTTTGTTGTAAAAAGGACAAGATTATAATTGCTTTATAATTTTAAAACACGATTTCAAATCCATTTTCTCCGAATTCCACTACTCATAAGACTGATAACATTAGTGTTAAAATACTTGAAATTAGCATACTTCCTGAATAATAGCAAATAGCGCCTGGTTGATTATTATCGCAATCCGATGTTTTCCAGAATCCATCAGTGTCTAATACTACACAGTCTTCAAGTTGTTCATTATTTTCAGGCCAGCGACTAAACTGAAGATGTTTCCCATCTGACCAACCAAAGTTGAGTTCATCCTGGAAGGAGGAGAAACATATTTTAAGTGGCAATCCTTCATCTTATCCCTACTATTTGATTTTGACCCTTGTGGTCGATCTAAGGGCTTTCCCTGGTGGCTCAGACAGTGAAGAATCCGCCTGCAACGCAGGACTCCTGGGTTTGATCCCCGGGTAGGGAACAGCCCCTGGAGCAGGGAATGGCTTCCAGTATTCTTGTCTGGAGAATTCCATAGACAGAGGAACCTAGTGGGCTACAGCCCACAGGGTACAAAGAGTTGGACACGACTGAGTGTGACTTTTAATTTTACCTTATATTTAGTACATATTTACAAAGCACTTACTATGTATTAGGCATTGTTTTAAGTACTTTGCAAATATTATATAATCCTAATAACAACCAAATGAGGCACCCAGGTACTATCATATATCCATTTTATAGATGAGGAAACTGAAGTCATGCACCATCACACAGAATGTAAAACCACAGTGAGCTGGGATTCAAATCCAGGCCATTAGACACTGGAGTTGATGGTCTAAACCATTATGCTTTGCTGCCTCACACATAATTAGAACCATTGGTTGTTGGAAATCAGAAAGCTAAAATGGAGTAAGGACCATTGTGAGCACTGATTAACTTAGAGATAATGTGTAGTAGTGGAAAGAACTGGGTTTGGAGCTAAGCATACTAGTTTTGAATTCTGGTTCAGTCATTTGTCAGCTTTTGACTGTGATATTACCTTGCCACATTTCCATCCCCTCTTCTATTAAATGGATGTGACACTTAATCTCATGGGTTAGAATCAATGGGGTAACGTGTAAGACATAAATCAGTGGCTAGCTGGTACACAATAAGAGCTACATGGGTGTTAGCTCTGTTTTAAACTCTCAGGCCCTGTGGATCTCATATCACTATTTTCACACTTGTCTTTAAAGAGAAACTTCCTTATTCACTACATTCTATTGTGTGATAGAAACCTGTGAACATCTCTTTTTACATCCTGACAAAAGCATGACTACCTGTCTTGAGAGAGGCTTTCAAGGTAGCTACAGATGTGCAGGTGACAGGTTGTGAAGTACAGGCCTGCCTGAGCTCTCCCATGGTGCTGCCAGGGCACCAGGCCTTATTCACTGACCCACTGAGGTATGCTTTCCTGAAACCCATGGCAATTTGGCATCACTGGCTTACATGAAACATTGGGCAAAGGCCACAGGCAGTCCCTTTAGTGAATCAAAAATAGCAAAAGCAGTCAAACCTCAATACCACCAACTATTTCATCCAGAATTGTTCTCCACCAGCATTCCTAAAAGATGATGCTGTGAAAGTGCTGCACTCAATGTGCCAGCAAATTTAGAAAACTCAACAGTGGCCACAGGACTGGAAAAGGTCAGTTTTCATTCCAATCCCAAAGAAAGGCAATGCCAAACAATGCTCAAACTACTACACAATTGCACTCATCTCACATGCTAGTAAAGTAATGCTCAAAATTCTCCAAGCCAGGCTTCAACAGTACATGAACTGTGAACTTCCAGATGTTCAAGCTGGATTTAGAAAAGGCAGAAGAACCAGAGATCAAATTGCCAACATCCATTGGATCATCTAAAAAGCAAGACAGTTCCAGAAAAACATCTACTTCTGCTTCACTGACGATGCCAAAGCCTTTGACTGTGTGGACCACAACAAACTGTGGAAAATTCTGAAAGAGATGGGAATACTAGACCACCTGACCTGCCTGTTAAGAAACAGTATGCAGTCAGGAAGCAACAGTTAGAACTGGACATGGAATAACAGACTGGTTTCAAATCAGGAAAGGAGTATGTCAAGGTTGTATATTGTCACCCTGCTTATTTAACTTATATGCAGAGTACATCTTAAGAAACACTGGGCTGGATGAAGCATAAGCTGGAATCAAGATTGCTGGGAGAAATATCAATAACCTCAGATATGCAGATGATACCACTCTTATGGCAGAAAGCAAAGAAGAACTAAAGAGCCTCTTGATGAAAGTGAAAGAGGAGAGTGAAAAAGTTGGCTTAAAACTCAACATTCAGAAAACTAAGATCATGGCATGTGGTCCCATCATTTCATAGCAAATAGACGGGGAAACAATGGAAACAATGACAGACTTTATTTTTGGGGGCTCCAAAACTGCTGCAGATGGTGACCTGGACGCTTACTCCATGGAAGAAAAGTTATGACCAACCTAGACAGCATATTAAAAAGCAGAGACATTACTGTACCAACAAAGGTCCATCTAGTCAAGGCTATGGTTTTTCCAATGGTCATGTATGGATGTGAGAGTTGGGCTATAAAGAAAGCTGAGCACCGAAGAATTGATGCTTTTGAACTGTGGTGCTGGAGGAGACTCTTGAGAGTCCTTTGGACTGCAAGGAGATCCAACCAGTCCATCCTAGAGGAAATCCGTCCTGAATATTCATTGGAAGGACTGATGCTAAAGCTGAAATTCCAATACTTTGGCCACCTGATTCGTAGAACTGACTCATTTGAAAAGACTCTGATGCTGGAAAAGATTGAAGGCAGGAGGAGAAGGGGATGACAGAGGATGAGATGGTTGGATGGCATCAATGACTCAATGGACATGAGTTTGAGTAAACTCCAGGAGCTGGCAATGGACAGGGAGGCCTGGCGTGCTGCAGTCCATGGGGTCGTAAAGAGTTGGACATGACTGAGCGATTGAACTGAACTGAACTGAACATTCCAGTTGTAAGGTTGTAGCCAGTTAATTTCTAAACCAGTGGCCTCGAATGTGGCCCTTTGTCCCTGTGATGTTGCCAGTACTGGGTATTACCCTGGATTCCTTCTCCCTTGCTGCACTCCTAACTAACCCAGGCCCGTGGACCTTTGGAACTTCTGTTCCTTGTAGATAAGCCATCCCACTCCCTCCCTCTCTTTATTGAATGCTAAATCTGTTTACTAAGACTGTAAGTATTTCTTCACTAAATTCTAGACCTTGATGGACCTTAATTAAAACCTGTCTTTTCTAACAGAGTAAGCTCCTTTCAGCACCCACAAGGGAAGGCTATTTGTTTTTCTTAATCTCAGATACCACAGAGCCATGAGAATGAGGTCATGGGTATTTTTACCTCCTTTAGTAATTTCCTTTGAGGTTTATTCCCTTATCACTGCAGCCTCCCAGAGTCCTTGCTTCTCTCTGACATTCACTGAGGTCTTGGCCCCCTGCCCATCTCTGACATTCACTAAGGAGATGCCCCATGTCTTGCTCTGTCCTCCTGGTCCCACCTCTCACTTAGGGAGCTCTGTGTTCATGTGGTTGACTCGCCCCGTTCCCAAACCTTCTTGACTTCCTCTTTCTAGACTTTCACTTCAATGTACTCTAGTGACCTGCTGTCACAGTCACTCTCCGGACTTCCTATAACCCACAACTGTGTGCTGCAGACAGTGTAAACACACCTCAGTCCAGACCATCATCATTTCCTGCACTGATGTCTATAAGAAACTAACTGGTCTTCTGTCTCAGGTCTTCTCACTTCCTTTCCCAGCTTCTCCACAGCATAATTTTTCTCAAGTCAAAGTCTGATGTTGTTACTACCATGCTTAAAATCTTTCAAAACCTCCCCACTGTTTTTAGTGTAAACTTTCACTTCTTTATATCCTGCCATGTTCCAAAGATTTAAGGCAGCTTATGAAAATCTATAATAAAGAGCTACATAAAATATGTTGAATAGCAAAAGGGAAAAGAGAAAAAGAGGTGAAGACTGAAAACAGAATAAGAAAGACCAAAATCATCAAGTGGGGGAAAAAAGTTACAAAACTGTATAATACCAAGTTTCTTAAAAATAAATCCATGTACACAGAAAAACAACTTGAAGGATATATACTAAACATTTAAACCACATTTATCACTAGATACTGTGGATTACAGGTGGTTTCAATTTTATTCCTTTAATTTATTCTAACTTTATGATTTTTTTCCAGTGACAACACTGCTTTTGTTTTAAAAGGTTTAATGTGATGTAATAACTGATTACCAGCTTCACAAGAGACACAGTGATGGGTTTCACATAATGCCAAACATGAAAGAGAAAGGAAGTAAAAGCAATGTTATGAAGGAACTGATACTGTGAAGTCTAGGGTAGCAGTTCAAGCTGACAATCTGGCTTGAACTAAGGGCACATTTTAAAATCCAGAGTTTTGGAGAAACTATTCTTCAAGAAATTTCTAAGTACTGTTTTCTTATTTTTTAAAATTGAGCTTCTGACAAATGCTGGTGGTAATAAATTTTAAGTTCGTCAAGATTATGTTTACTTCTGAGTTTAAGTTTTTCATCCACTCTCCAGTTCAGCTTGGGGTTTGTGCAAGGATTGAATCGTCCTTCATCACCTTTTCTCCAGACAACCCTAAAACGGCCTTGGTACACTGAGGGTTATCCTACAGTCTACACGCCTCAGGTTTGCTTCACAATGCCATGGATGCTTCTCTCCTGCTCTCCCGATTAACTTTTCTCTAACAGTGGATTAGGAGTACTGGTTAGGTGATGCTTATCTAACTGGACTTTATGGGTCACTCGCTGCACAGATGCAGGAAGCAAAGTTCACATTACCATCTTTGTAAATGGCACCCCTATCAGTAGACAACATAAGCAGCCTTATATACCAGCCCTATATCTTAACTTTAAATTCATTTCAGTGGGCAAAGCATCAAATCATTACAAAGAAGGCTCAGAAAAGAGGCAAAAAAGGACTATAATGCTGACAGAAATAATAGAGCTCTATTTTAAAGAAGATTCTCTATTAATTTTAGCCAAAAGATTTAGGAGCATAAATATTCCTGTTCAAGCTATATGTATGTAATTCAGTGTCAGGAATTAACAGGAGACTAGCATTCGTTGTTGGGCTAAGAGATGAATAAGTACCCAAGATCAGAGTTGGAAATACAGTGAATTGCTCTTCTAATTCCTTTGTAGAGTGGCTTAATTTCACTTTGCTTATTCAGAAAGGGATAAAAAGCCCTTTAATAATGTCCATGAACTTCCACTCACCCAACCCCCTGTGATTTTGTAACTGCCCTTCCCCTTCCTTTTCATTGGCTGAGGAGAGATGGCAGCTCCAGATTCCAGCTCGATCTTTGATTAGAATAAATAAAAAGAAGTGCTCAGCTACATATGTCCATTGGACATTTTTCTAAAGCTAAACAATAAAGCAGCAAATCAGTGGAAAAATGACTGCCACTAAAAATTACATACTTCATGAAATTCATTCACTGGAGTAAGACTTTATGATCTCTGGATTTTTTTAGTCTGTTAGAGAGATGCTGTGTGCAATAAAAAAATGTCACATTCCATCACCCAATCCTGGCCACTGGGACTGAAAACTTACATCGTGACTGGAGAGTCCGATCCACAAAGAAGAGTTACGAAGGGCTGCCTGCACAGTCAGGAAGGCCTGCTGGTGAGGGTCTGTGATGCTCACCAGGTGCATGTTCTCTTTCTGACACTCTCTTAGCGCATCGGTCCAAGTCAGGGTCTTCAGGATTATTTTGTACAGGTTATTTTGATACTTCATAGTCTCTGAAGTATTCTGCAAGGTCTGTCTGCTTTCACTTTCTGTGTGTAAAAGAAAAAAAAACAACCCACCCACTTGTCAAGTCAAGAGACAGCTTTTGAAATTTCTCCCTATAATAATGTACTTTAGGTATTACTTATCTATTTGTTTTAGATTTGGGGTAGGAGAACTAGGTATGTTTTGCTAAAAAAATTCTGTTTCAGTTGATCTGATTTGGGAAGGGGAAAAGCTGTAAATAAAACTAGAGTTCAGTAAGATTACCATTTCAGATTGGTGTCATATTCTTTCTTTCTTTGAACTGCTTCAACAAGAGAAGGTGTTAAGTGTCCCTTTACAAGTTTTCATCTGGGAGAACCCACGAAAAAATGTATGAAACCACCCCTTAGAGGATATATTTGCATTATTGATTTCAATACTTCTCTGAATTAAGGCAGTTACTAAAAAGTATAAGACAAATGAGTAAAGATTAATTTAGCAAAAAGTTCTTCAAAAGCACAGGGATTAGCTACTTGAGATTCTCATTACATGACAAAGGATTTCTTTTTTTAAATCATTTGTTAAAAACTTACTGTGACCAATGAAAACAATAAAAAATATTTTGCAAGTATAGATGATGTCTACTTTTAAGTACATATTTTATTTTTGTGTGGATTATAGGATAAGGCTTAGACTGTGATCCATTTATAATGCTTCATATCCTTTTATTTTTTTGAGTACTAAATTTAACCATGAATGTTTACACCAAGTTCAGTTACAAACATTTTTTTCTCCTCTTTTCATCATGATAGAAAGTAAAATCTGAAAAATTACAGAGTAAAAAGGAGAACAAAATGCAACCATAATTTACTGTCATTAGACAACTCCTATTAACAAATTCCATTAAATACTTAATTTTGATATTTAATTATGGCAATGACCTTGAAAGAAAATCACATTCTATTCAATACTTGAGCTACTTTGACTCACAGGGATGTAGCCATGCTAAAATGTTAAGGAAGCTGTATGATTACAAATATTAATTAATTTATAAGATTTTTTTTTGTGTGAAAACATACAGTACATTTCTAACAACATAAAGTACCATAGTCATCTAAATAATGATCTATACCTGAGTATTTCTGACACAGAGCCAGAGTATGGTGTTCACTACAGGAAGTAAAATTCCACATCCCAGTAAAAGGTGATTTTTGGAGGTTGAGCATTACAGCACAGTGGTAAGATGCCTCTTCATCAAAAATCTAAACAAAAAGGCAAATATGTATAAGCAATCATGAAACTAACAGTCTGAGGGTTCCAGCAAGATAATTTTATACTCCAAATTGGACTTTTCTTCCTAAAGAAAAATCCATTAGGGAGCTGACCATGAAATCACTAAGAAAATCCTGATAAACTTTCAAAACATGGGAAAAGGGCAACTAACTTTAGAAATCACAAACCAAAATAGTAGTAATATTGATAAATACATCTTCAAAACAGATAAAGAAAACCTATTAGAAGACAAAAGCAACTATAGTAATATTTAACACTCTGCTTTCATTCTTAGCATTGCAAGTAAGCAAAAAAGTGATGACAATTAATTTAACTTATTAGATATTTATAAACTTTTTATAATGACAAATGGTGTCCCATACAAGAGAGAACTCACCTTAAAGTTTTGATCCTATACTTGTCACTATGAAACATCCATAAATAAAAGTATCTATTTAGATTTCATTTGTTGACCACAAATCAGTAACATTAGACATGAAAATTTATTCAAAGTATATTATCCCTGCTGCTGCTGCTGTTGCTAAGTCGCTTCAGTCATGTCCGAGTCTGTGCGACCGTAGAGACAGCAGCCCACCAGGCTCCTCTGTCCCTGGGATTCTCCAGGCAAGAACACTGGAGTGGGTTGCCATTTCCTTCTCCAATGCATGAAACTGAAAAGTGAAAGTGAAGTCGCTCATTCGTGTCTGACTCTTCACGACCCCATGGACTGCAGCCCACCAGGCTCCTCCGTCCATGGGATTTTCCAGGCAAGAATACTGGAGTGGGTTGCCATTGCCTTCTCCAACACTCTTCTAAATGTTTGAAACATATTACTCTTAGAAAAATAAGAAAAGTAAGCTTATCGCAGGAGCTATAATTTTTTTTAAAATACTACATGCATGCATACATGCTAAGTTTTTTCAGTCACGTCTGACTCTTTACGACCCCATGGATTGTAGCCCACCAGGTTCCTCTGTCCACGGGAACCCATGGCTCTATGTCTCCTGCCTTGGTAGGTGGGTTCTTTACCACTAGCACCATCTGAAAGTGAAAGTTGCTCAATCGTGTCCAACTCTTTGCGACCACATGGACTATACAGTCCATGGAATTCTCCAGGCCAGAATACTGGAGTAGGTAGCCTTTCCCTTCTCTAGGGCATCTTTATCAATGAAAAACTGAGGCTTAAGAGAAGTGAACTTCCTAGGGCACACTAAATGGCTGAATGGAATTCAAATCCAGACAATCTGACTCGAGAGTTTAGCCCTCAACTACTGTACCAAATCCCTTTATGATTAAAGAATGATCTTGGAATAGGATTCTAATATCACATGGTTTTGTTCCTTCAAACTTTCAGAGAAAGATAACTTCCCAGGCTGAGTCATAATCTCAAAATACAAAGGCAGAAAACTACCCAGTTCATCTTATGAAGCTGCCACAATCAGAAAAAAAGAAATCTAACAATATAGCATTAAAAAAATTAACTTAGGGACTTTCCTGCTGGTCCAGTGGTTAACACTTCGCCTTCCAATGCAGAGGGTGCAGGTTCGATTCCTGATCGGGGAGCTAAGATCCCATATGCCCCATGGCCAAGCAACCAGGACATAAACAACATAAGCAATATTGTAACAAATTCAATGAAGACTTAAATTAAAAAAAAAAAATTAACTTAAAAAAATTTTTTTAAAAATTAACTTTATGAACAGAGATGAAAATATTCCCAAATAAAATTCTAACAAATCTAATTCAGTAAAATAGTAAAATAATAATTCACTTTCAGTAATTAGGTTTTATTACTGAAATTAGGTTCTATTTAGGAGATAAAAATGGTTTAAATACAACATCTATCAATGGGCCACATATCCATGGGCCTAATGGGAAAAACTATTGACACAATTTTAATAGATGTTGAAAATAAATTTTAGAAAATCTACTACTTATTCTTGAATAAAAATTTAAAATAAACTAGTTAGAGAATGATATATCTTGAACAAAAAGTACACATCAAATGTAAAAACCAAAGACTATAGGACAAAGATAGTCCTATTAGAGTACAGATCAAGTGTAAGATATTATTTAATACTCCTGGTATTTACCATGGTTCTGGAAGTCTTACCACATGTAGTGAAGTGTGAACTGTTATTTGCAAATTATGATTATCTAATTAGAAAACCCAAGAAAATCTAGTGAAAAACTCTGAGAAGTAGTAAGAGTTTTTAGTAAGATGGATACCTATGAAATAAATGTACAAAAATTCCCAAATAGGTTTCCTACACATCAATAAGAAAATTTTAAAAAGCTGCCATTATCAACAGCAATAAGAAAGATAATTTCTATGAAAACATCACTGAGGAATTTAAAAGGAAGACTTGAATTAGTGGAGAGACATGTTACACCATTTTCTTGAGGAACGATTAATAAAGAGATGTCAATTTTTCCTAAAATGTTGTCAAATTCTCACCAGATATTTTCTATTTAATTGTTTAGAGTGGAAATTAAGTAAATAATTCTAGTTTGCCTTGAAGAATAGACAGAACAGCTAAAATTTTTTAAAAGCAAATAATAAAGGATAACTAATTCTATTATATTTTTTGAAATACGGGAACATGGTAGTATTTAGATCAGTGTGAGAGCTATACAGGAGTATGTCTCATACACAGATGTACACATACACACACACACACTTCACATATGATAAAGAAGGCATTCTATATTGATTTTAACAAATGGAGGTATATGCAATAAATGATGCTAGACAATTGGCCAGAATTAGGGAAAAGGATTAAGTAACCATTGACAACATATACCATATACCATGGATGTATCATGTTGTCAGAATAAAAAGGCAAGCTATAAGACAAAATTAAGAAAATAAAGGCATACACTTAACTAACATTATAACCTAAAACAATGGAGGGAAAAAAAGAAATAAATAGAGTTAAACATGCAACAAAAAAATCAAAACTTATTTCTGTAATATTTTTGGTATTTAGACTTAAAGAAAAATCCTATGAAAATATTTGCAATAAATGGGTGTGGAGGAAAGGGAACCCTCTTACATTGTTGGTGGGAATGCAAACTAGTACAGCCACTATGGAGAACAGTGTGGAGATTTAAAAAACTGGAATTAGAACTGCCATATGACCCAGCAATCCCACTTCTGGGCATACACACCGAGGAAACCAGATCTGAAAGAGACACGTGCACCCCAATGTTCACTGCAGCACTGTTTATAATAGCCAGGACATGGAAGCAACCTAGATGCCCATCAACAGATGAATGGATAAGGAAGCTATGGTACATATACACCATGGAATATTACTCAGCCATTAAAAAGATTTCATTTGAATCAGTTCTAATGAGACGGATGAAACTGGAGTCCATTATACAGAGTGAAGTAAGCCAGAAAGATAAAGACCAATACAGTATACTAACGCACATATATGGAATTTAGAAAGATGGTAACGATAACCCTATATGCAAAACAGAAAAAGAGACACAGATATATAGAACAGAATTTTGGACTCTGTGGGAGAAGGCGAGGGTGGGATGTTTAGAGAGAACAGCATTGAAACATGTATATTATCTAGGGTGAAACAGATCACCAGCCCAGGCTGGATGCATGAGACAAGTGCTTGGGCCTTCCGAAGTGCACTGGGAAGACCCAGAGGAATCAGGTGGAGAGAGAGGTGGGAGGGGGGATTGGGATGGGGAATACATTAAATCCATGGCTGATTCATGTCAATGTATGACAAAAACCACTACAATATTGTAAAGTAATTAGCCTCCAACTAATAAAAATAAATGGAAAAAAAAAGAAAATACTTGCAATAAATGCAAGAAACACAGGGTTTGCACAGTTAATGTTTACACAGTCATAAAAACAGTAAGAATTACAAGAAGACTTTGACAGATAAATTTTCAAAGAATAAAAAATTCATATTTGATTTTAATTAAAAATTTAATAATTCTAATAATATTAATTGAAAATTTTTAATAATAAAAATTATTACTGAATTTATATGCTTTTATTAGAAATCAGAGCAACAGAAATCTAACAAATGCTTTTACTAGAAATCAGAAAATATGATATCACCTAAACTAATAAATTAGCAAGAATTTTTAAAAGATAATGCTCCTTAGAGCACTTTACCAGAGGCAATGTGGTAAGGAAGCTAAGGACGCTGCCTCTGCAGACTCAGATTAAAAGCCTACTCTGCAGGCATACACTGAATGACTTCTGGCGAGTTACATGGCTCTCCGTCTCCACGTTTCTAAGATAGGAGAGGAGTACCTATTGTTTCACATTTTTGTGCAGAGCAAATAAAATGATACATGTGATGCATTAGTAGAATGTCTGATGCATTAGCTGCTCAATAAATGTTGGAAATTATTAATATACTGGTGTGAATAGAAGAGTAATCACAACACATTGCTGACAAAAAAATAAACTCATAAACCTTTCTGGAAAACAATTTGGTAACCAGAGTTTTATAACTACTTATGTCTTTTGATCTGGCTACCTAAATCTACCCTAAGAAGGTAACCTGAAATATATAGCAAAGATTATGCACAAAGATGTTAACTGCAGCTATTTAAGATTATGCAAAACTGAAAACAACTGAAAGGCCCAGCATTGTTTAGGTAAATGATGGCATATATATCAAGAAATATTGTGCAACCATCAAAATGGTTATCAAGTATATCCTTTAATGGCATAAGAAACTATTGATACTTATACTAAATAAGAAGAGTAAATACAATAGTATATAATCTTATCTATGTCAAGAAGAAAGTGTATAGAAAAGTCCTAGAAGAAAAATGCTGAAATATTCATTGTGATTCCCTAGATCAGGATTCAAATATGGTTTGAGACTCATTTACTAGGTCATGAAATCAGTTCAGTGGATCTTGATTCTTACTTGTGATAATGAAATAGAATAGGATAGAATACAGAGAACAGATTGACTATACTAGACTAAAGCAGACTAGAACAGGAAGCAATATAAGCTCTAAGGGTAAGTATTATTACCTGAAATTTTTGTTTCAATTCAGTATTATATCTATGTGCTAAATGTTTCTTTAAATGTATTTCTTACTATGGGGCATGAGTTAGAAGTTTAAAAGCAACCAGCCTAAATATAAGCAGGATGAAGGCTGATATTTTTCTTTATGTTGTTCACTCATATAACTTCCAAATTTTCTATAATAACCAAGTATTATTTTGATATTTACCGAGTGATAATTACATGTTTCAGTTCCCTTTGCCATCAATGTCAATCTTGAGCAAAGTTCCATTGCATCAGGTATATCAGTTAATGTCATCTGGCATGTACTTTTGGAATTCAACTTTAATCTCTTAATAATTTTTGCTTTCTGTGCAAAAGGTGGTTTGTATCCAGCAAATAAGGAAGACAGAAGCAATGGACAGTAATATCATGATATAGGATGACTACTGTTAAAATAATGCCTTCTTCCCTTCTACAGCTTCTTTACATTTAGATCTTAGGGAAAAATGATCACCAATCACCAATCTTGTACTTTTTAACCTCAGAAGACTAAATCTGACAGCTCCAAATTCCAAAATGATAAATAAAGCCTTTTATTAGCTTTTATTTGCAGCTCACTACTGATGGTTTCGGGCTTCCCTGATGGCACAGATGATAAAGAATTCACCTGCATTGTGGGAGATAAGGGTTTGATCCCCAGTTCGGGAAGAGCATGGCAGCCCACTCCAGTATTCTTGCCTGGAAAATTCCATGGACAGAGGAGCCTGGCAGGCTACAGTCCATGGGGTCGCAAAGAGTTGGACAAAACTGAGTGACTAAGCACACTGAAGGTTTTACACGGATATAAAATAAGTGCTATGGAATCTGATGCTACTGTGAAAAACTAGGGCACCCACACAAAGGTTGGGGAAGCTATGTTGTTGTTCTTCTTGTGACAGCTTTATTGATTAAATTCATAGATAGTATAATTCACCCATTTAAAGTATACACTCTATAGTTTTCAGTATATTCACAGAGTTGTGCAACCATCACCCTCAATCAATCTTTGAACATTTTCACCACCTTAGAAAGAAACCCCATATGCTTCAGCCATCACTGTCAATCCTTCTAGCCTCCTTAGTCTCTGGTAAATAGTAATTTATTTTCTATCTTTATAGATTAGCCTATTTGGATGTTTCATATAAATGGACTCATAAAATAGGCCATTATTCTTAACCCAATAATGTGTGGAAGAAATCAGGTATTTCATACAGCTACATGCTGTACTGATTAAAAGAACAAACAAACTTACATTTGGTGGTATTTGCAGCCGCCGGCCAACCAATAATGGGTGAAAGTTACTGTATGTCAGCTGTCTGTTATCCATCCATTTGTTTATCTTTTCATAAGCAGTCCAGCGCAAACCAATCCATAAAGAAGTGTCCATATCTGGAAGCTGGGATGTAATAAAATCTGTCAGAAAGATAAATATTTTTTTTTAAAAAAAGCATTTGACTTATTGAAATTAAAGGTATACTAAAAATATCAATGAATACTTTGGGCTTATCTAACTATCAAGATAATCTTTGATTATCACCTAACTCTATAAAAAGTAATTTAATAAGATTTTTTTTATATGTTAATTCCCCACATCTTGCCAACAGAAACTTGGCCCCCATATCCGAATAAAACAAGTTCACAGAACAATTCTGCTACCTTGTTCTCTTTGGCTCAAGACCGAAGGAAGGGTTCCACCATAGGTATGACAAATATCACTGGCTTCAGAAAACGCGACAGATTTGGGTTTGATCTTTAGAAAACACTACAAACAAAGAATATACACAAAGTATAAAATTTCAGACAAATGAAAGTTCATATAGGAAATAAATGCCTTATCTTTTAGAGAGCTGCTAATTTTCTGTCCATAAGGTATAGAAATTTACAAAGTAGTGTCATAAGAATGCAGACCTATACTCTTAATTTAAACAACTGAAGAGCAGTCTTTTAACTATTTTTTAAAAAAATTTCCCATTTACTGAGTACTTCCTTGTGCCAAACACTTTGCACAGCATTATCTCATTTAATTCTCACAAGAAATGGGGAAACGGAAGCACAGGGACATTAAGAAACTTTACCCATAAGTGAAATAGCCATAGCATGGTCAGCATTTAAACTCTGCTCCATTTGATTTCAAATATATATTCTTTACCATTATCTTATATTAAAAAAAAAGCACACATTTTAAAAGAAATCATCCCACTGTCTCTTGGCAGGATATTTTAATTCCAAGGGGGTGAAAGGGATTAAGAGATACAAACTATCAGACTAAAATAAATAAGTCACAGGGACATTATCTATAGCAAAGGGATTATAATCAATTTTATAATAACTTTGTATGGTGTATAATCTATGGAAATACCTGATCACTATATTGAACACCTGAAATTAATATACTATTTTCAGTCAACTATACTTCAGTAAAACAAATAAAAACTCTACAAATTTATATCAACTATGTAAATTAATATAGTCCTAGCAACTTGGGGGGAAAAGATTATTTTAATTTTAAAAAGTCAAAATATACCCCTAATATTTTAAATTTACTACAGATGCTTTCAGTTGCCAGACCCATCTCTTCCTTCTTCTGTTTGATATTATAGTCATGTTACTGCGTAGTAGTATGGCCCCAATTATGTTCCTTGAAACATTCTAAAAAAAATTTTTTTTCAGCCTCCTTACAGACAAGAGTGGCCAGAGAGATATAAAGTCATTGGGGGACTTCTAGAAAAGACTCCCTGAACAAACACCCTGAACTTGAGCTTGGAAGCCTTAAGTTAAGGATGGTAGAGCTGAAAGACAAAGGGAAGTCTGGTTTTGAAGACCATAAAGCTTTCATACCAACCCCAGCCTGCTTATCTTCTAATTTCTTTTATCTGAGAGAATAAATGCTTTAGCATACTGTAGTAATTTCTCTTTTTAGCAGCCACTTGCATTTTCTAAGATACATACACCAATATGAATTGTGCATCTCAAGGAGGCAAATATAGAATGTGGCACTTCCCAATCTATTTAATCATAAACCCTACTCTGGAGGCAAGATCAATAAACAATATTTTATTAGCATATGTGTACATTCCCCAAAAGTAGTTTGGGAAATGTTGATCTAATTTGATTGATAAATGATGCTTGGATGGTTTTCCTTAAGGAGGAAAATTTATCAGCCCGAAATTCAGTCAGTTTCCTACATGCCAAAGGGATAATCCTGACTAGTTAATGTACTATTCATTGAAAGATCAACTTCAGCAATTTAAGCATTAGCAGCAATGGAACAGGAACAGGGTATTCTGAAAGACCGGCAGGCGTGACTAACTTGAGAATAATTCTGTTTCTGAAAATATAGGGAATCAGGTGAGATACTGAAATATGCAGAGTCTATCTTAATGAAGTTACTTGGGATGTCATTCTGCCATGGGCCATATAACCATCAGGAAAGCAATCATCATTTGCACAATGTAGCAATTCCCTTTTTACCTTGTTCTGAAAAGTAATCCAATCCCCAGAGCACTGCACTTTAGCTGCAGAATCTGCACTATATTTTTCTAATGAAGATACATTGTATTTTTCACAGACAAAGGGCAACTTGGTACTACAGTCTGCAGGTTTTCGTAAATCTGAGAAGTGAGAAGCAAGATTACTGTGATGAGAATTTTCCATTCAGCAAATTTTTAAAAATAATCCAGTAGTAAAGAAGGTCTCTTTAAGTCAATATTTCCCAAATGGTTAAAATATATTCCTTTTCTTCCCTAGCTATTTTTGTCTCCTATTATTATTACTCATTTCAATAGATTGTAGCATACCAATATTGCCTATAAAAATGCACAAACTTGGTGAATTTCCTAGTGTCAGGAAATAGAGAGATGAAGAAGGCTCTTAGGAAGGGGGATAGAGACCCAAACTATACTTTAGAACTGCTGCCTGCTTATCTTTGTGAATTTGTCTATACCCTCATTAGTTAGGAAACGGTAGGTTTATTTCTAAGTAACTGCTTTAGCGACTGAAAGTCACTCAGTTACATCTGACTCTTTGCGATGCAACGGACTATACAGTCCGTGGGATTCTCCAGGCTAGAACACTGGAGTGGGTAGCCTGTCCCTTCACCAGGGGATCTTCCCAACCCTGGAATAGAACCTGGGTCTTCCTCACTGCAGGCGGATTCTTTTACCAGCTGAGCCACAAAGGAAGCCCACGAATACTGGAGTGGCTATCCTATCCCTTCTCCAGCATTTTTTCCCGATCCAGGAATCGAACTGGGGTCTCCTGCTTTGCAGGCAGATTATTTAACAACTGAGCTATGAGAGAAGCTCAACTGCTTTAGGATAAAGGAAGTAAAAATATTCTCAGTGAAAAGCACCTTTACTTGCATTTGGAACTTGAGCTATTGTCATTAGCAATAAATCAGAACAAGATGAAGCTACCACATATATAATCAAAAGGAAAACAAGATTAAGCTAGTAATTGAACCTGAAGTTCACATATTACATAATTAACATTAAAGGATTTGGAATTAACCTTACCATTAAACCAAGTCCTGGCAGACAGGTAGAAGCATTCCTCTCCAAATAGTATAGGAAAGTGATGCCATGGGTCTCGTGAGCTGAAAGAAGATGAGAGATGTGACAGCTTGCAATATAGTTACATGTTCCATCTTGGGCGTTACTGTAAGCAACTTTAATTCTAAATTTAATGTCAGGCCATTATTTTACTTTTTTCTTGATGCTCATTTGCAAAAGGATTTGGTTTCTCAGTCTAGGTAGTTTAAGGATTAATGTTCAAAACTAATTATAAATAACTGCTCCATTTAGTATTCAATAAAAAGGGATTTGGGACAGGTTCTTTTAAATGATAACTTCACAAAGGCAGCATCAAAGATGTCACATACTATATAAAACGATGTGATATCACCTGTTCAGTCGTTCTCACCCACCATTTCTGCTCATCACTAGATATCTGAAAAAAAAAAATACAAAAACAAAACAACCAAGTGAACAACCAACCTTACTTGTGCTAACTTTTCTAGGAGAGTTTTGATTTAAATTCCCTGGCCTATCAAAATCACAAACCACTAAAATTTCTAAATATTCATTACTTTACTTACTAAATTACATACACTGGGTCCTTTCACTGAAGAATGTAATTTAGAAACTTTTTTTATAGTCACATGCCCTATTTTGTATACAGAAATATGGTCACTGTAATTGTGGACATGCATTAATGGAACATATTCTACTGCTACCAATTATAAATTTTAAAACATACAAATTACTTTTCCTCCAAAAAGCTATTTTGCAGAGTTAGTTATGCTTAGAAACAGAATTTCAAGTTAACTACAAAGTTATAATAACTTTTGATGCTCATCTTATCAGTTGACATTTATAATTAATCTTGAATATTTTAAAACATTATACAGTTCTATTTAAAATTTTTCTAACATGCAGTGATGAACTTATAGGTTGTTAGGCAAATTTCACTTGAGGGGAACATTCAAGTTTTGTACATTTAAAAAAATTTTTAACAGAATAAATACAGTTTCCACGGTGGTTCAGTGGTAAAGTATCTGCCTGCCAATGCCGGAGCCACAGGTTCTGTGCCCAGGTTCAAGCCCTGGGCACAGAAGATCTCCTGGAGGAAGAAACGGCAACCCATTCCAGTCTTCTTGTCTGGAAAATCCCATGGATGAAGGAGCCTGGTGGGCTACAGTCCATGGGGTTGCAGAGTCAGAAACAACTGAGCATACATGCACAAAAGAATAAATATAAAAATTAAAAAATAAAATACATTATTTTAAATTACATTTGCTATCTTGTTTCTGATGGCTCTTAGTCCTGTAAAAGATGTTAAACTAGCCAGAGAACTGTGATTACTATCACAATACAGAACAGCTTCTTCATAGCTTAAGCGGGGATCAGCAACAAACCAATATTCACTCCCATCTATTACAACTGGAGGTCCATGAATGCCAGCACGCTCTAAAGAAGAAGAATAGCAGAATCAGGACTGTGTAAACCCAACTGCACCCTCTCAGCATGCATGAAGACTCAAAACTATTTATAAATAGTAATCCATTTAGATTACTGGCTTTCTTTGCCCAGGGCAGTTCTGCCTGGAAGGATTCAAGGATTTCTGAGCCAGTGAGTGGCTCTGTTACCCTCCTGCACTCATGGAGAAGGCTAAATCCAGACCCAGAGTCTCATCCCACAGCAGCCAATCACCTTCCCTCCCTGCAGATACTTCATTGCATTTGAAGACATAATAGAAAAAAAGCTGGCACTTGGACCTGGGCTTAAACAGTTAACTAAATACACCCCTGAAAAGGTAAAAGCAACTTTGGATAAATTTTAGTTTTCTTCACTTACCTGGATTGTACCAGTCTGGTATTTTTAGAGTATGACCTGTATAAGAAAGCAAGTGGCTTAAGTTTAGTATTCAATTATAGACCATAGCATACTTGCAATTTTGCTGAGATTTGTTGATTTTTGGCCAAACCATCTCCTTTCATGTTATGATCATTTCAGTTTGAATTTTGTGGGGCCTATGCTAAAGCCGTTTTTGTGGCAACCAAAAAGGCAGATTTGTTAAATGTTAATACAGTATAACTAGCAGTTCTCCACCTTATATTGTGGAAGTCATAAAAGAATACTAGATGGATAAAATATAGTTAATAATTAGGAAGCACAAATAAGTAAATGAGTACATTGTATATATAATATTATATAGGAATATGCAAGATAATCATCACTGTAGGATGAGGTTGTTCAGGAACCACATCTCCATCTAATGCAACTTGAATATATTTAGGTTGGTAGAGTTTATTGTTTCCCAAGATACCCTTTGGAAAAAATGTTCAGTGATCCAGTACCGAAACTTTTGAGGAGAGATAAAACTGGGAGGAAAATAAAATTCACCCAGCAAAGAAATACGGTACCATACAAAGAATTATGGTCTTTGAAGCTGAGTGAGTCAGTGTCCAATGAGCTCAGACTCTCTGCTGCTGTGCTACTTGGGATCAGTTGCTCAACTCTCTGAGCCTCAACTTTTTATTTTATAAAAACTAAACTCTCCTACCTAACTCACAAAGACAGTGTGAAGATCATGTGAGATCACGCTTATGTAAGCACCCCACACAGGGCCAGGCACAGAGCAGTTCCCCTCAGGATGCTAAGTTGCTCTTCTCTCTCTTTACATTCTGGTCATAGGTCACATTGGTTTCAAGCCAAAGACATAATTTGATGAATTTTAGAAATTATAGGGTAAAATAGCTGTCCTTCATTTTGCTATGTATCAGGGCCAATGCATGAGAAGACTCTACTCAGAGGACTGCCTACATATCCAGCAACTGTGGTTTTTTCTCTGACTCAGCCCTCTGTATACTGGATGATTTTCATTAGCAATGCTGCAGATTAGCTAAAAACAGTTTCTTGTTTGTAATCTTGTCTGTTCATTTGTATGCTGGGGGAAAGCTATGTTTAACCTTTACATTTCTTTACATTAGTGAGAAAAGCAAAATAAAAGGTACCTTTTTACACAAGATTACAAACATGTTTGTGTGTACAAGGTATCAAGAAATACAATTCAACAAAGTTGTGTTTATAGGTCATTTTCCAAAAACATTTTTGTGAACCTTATTTTTGATATAGTTTTCTTGACTAAAAAAATAATACTTTAAAAGTACATATATCAATAGTGATTATAATTTTAAAAAATTAGGCTGTTAAATTATTTCTTTTAGAGAGGAGGAGACTAATTAGAACCAGATGGATGAGATAATAAAAAAGGCAAGCGCTAGAGAAAAGGCTGGGTGATTTGGGCTACTGAAGAGGTAAACTGCTTCAGGGAAATCAGAAAACACATTAATACAGAAGTATCTAGTTGAACAGGTTTTGGCAGTTGTAATTACCAAGAAAATATCCACCTAGTGAATGAGATACACTGTAACTCAGAAATATTGGGACTTTCAAAGGGGAGTTAACATTTAAACCCTGGATCAAACCATCACTGATTGCTTCAAATGACTGAGACATTTGAAGGCTCAGACTGAGGTTGAGATGGGACATTCTTTAGTTTTAAATTTTATTTCTGCATTGGAGAGAGCAGGGATGCAATTATTTAAAAGATTTATTTCTTTTATTACTTGATTTATATTTTCTAAGCATAAAAATAAAAACAAAATATATTAAAAAGAAAACCATCGTTTTAATAATATTTCCTGTGGTTACTGGATTGGCATTTCTAAGGTTTTCCCAGTGTAAACTCTAGGGTCTATTTCACCACTCAAACATGAGGCAGGGGAACAGCTACCAGGAAAATAAAGAGCATACTTAACAAGCATACTTTGGAGGAAGCAAGGACACTCTCTGTAGCATTCCACATGCCAAAGAATAATAGGAATATCATAACTAATGCTTCAAGCCAGAGACATTGTTGAAGCTAATTATATATTAGTTACTTTGCCACTTGTATGAAAGGTGTCCAAACTGATTTTCCTCTTTCAGGTTAATCAATAATTAGGACTAACTCAGGTATACTTTTTCCTTTAGGAAAACCCCATCAACATGTATACAGACATACACACTTTCTTTTTTATTAATGATTCCCCAAGTCTGCCTTTGTGAAACAGACTTGCCAGATACTCTGCCAGATGTTGCATCTGAAGCTTTTTTTTTTTTTTTTTTAATTTCTTTCTTTCTTTGGCTGCTCCAGGCCTTAGTTGTGGCATGTAGGATCTTTAGTTGTAGCATGTGGGATTTAGTTCCCTAACCAGGGATTGAACCCAGGATCCCTGTATTGGGAGTGCAGAGTATTAGCCACTGGATCATGAGGGAAATACCTGAAGCTCTTTCAAAGGCAAGGTGGCTCTTCTTAGGAGAGAAGAACTGTCTTCTAATAGGCAGTTCCACAAGATAATCTTTGGGTTCTTGCAGAACTTTTAAGAAGACATCCCTTTGGTTTCAATAAGCTGTCTATATTCAGTTCAGAAATTCATTTTGGAACTTTCTGTGCATTTACCGTTATGTTAATTAATCTAATCTATTTAAAATCTGCTTAAAAATAATTTGGCAGTTAAAATCTTAACATTTTCCTTAATATATCCTTGACATTTTCCTACTACAAAGTGAAGTAAAAGGATATTTATTATCTTTTCTCTTTTTTGCTACCAAGGGCTCTACTATCAAGCTAACTGATATCCTGAATTTGAAGGAGACAAACTGAGTAATTTTGAGCTCATTGAAAATTGTTTTGAAATTATAAAAAAATTTAGATTTGGGCCCTGCCCAAACTTGATTTCCTGACTTTTGCTTCATTCTTCCCAAGCTTGCCTTCATTTTACAACAAAATTATTAAAGTGATTAAATGATTTAAATGATTCATTTTACTTTGTCTCTTCTTTCATTTGGAATGATCTTTTATTCCAAGGCCTAATCTCCCTAAATTAGCCTTACATGTTCTCTCCTATACAAATTCTTTCATGATAAAAGAGGAAGGTAGTACCTAACTTCAAAAAGGCAGCCTTTTACTAGGGGTGGGAGAAGAGGGAGTCAGCATAAGATGGCTGGATGGCCATGGACATGAACTTGGGCAAACTTCAGGAGATGGAGAGGGACAGGGAGGCCTGGTGTGCTTCAGTCCATGGCGTGGCAAAGATTCGGACACAACTGGGTGACCAAACAACAATGACAACAGGAGTCAGGCAGGATGGAGCTTAATATACTAACTGTATAATCAAAGGCTTTCAAAACTATAATTATAGACTAAAATGCTCTCTTAGATACTCTGGATCAGCAGTCACAATATTCACGTGAGAAGACTGGGAAAAGGAATAACCACCACTTACCTTTTGGAATCTGGCACACCCATTCGAGTTTTGCATCACAAGCAAAAGGCCTTAGATTCATAAATTCTCTGTCTTCATAAAAATACCAGCTTCTTCGCCATGGCCTTTGAATGACCTAAAGGAGGAAGAGGATTGTAGAATATTTCCAAGTTGATGCAGCCCTTATACAACACTAAACTGTAAGTCTTATGCTCTTTAATTCTACTTTAGCTCTAGAACCTAAGATATATGTTTATGAATGAACACATGAAAGAATGCAGTGTGTAAGCAGTAAAATTTAAACTGCATTAAGCAAGAGCCTTCAGAGGGACTGATAAAGGAAATATAACATAGGGTCATGTTTATGTCCAAAATGCAAATTATTGTTTGTTTTTTTCTGTTTTTGTTGATATGAAATAACAGAATCCTACAACTTTAAATTTTGGAAGGACCAAGCTAGAAAAGAATATTTGGTTCAGTGATTTCCAAACACCAGGCTATGATCATAGTGGATCTGTGAAAAGTGACCTAAAAGTTGGGTGTCAGGGGCCCAAGTTTGTTCTTTGGTGTTGGTTTGTGTTCCTGGGGTATTGCCCTCCTCTGTGTGATCTAAGGGGTTTCCCTGGTGGCTCAGTTGGTAAAGAATCTGCCTGCAATGCAAGAGACCTGGGTTCAATCTCTGGGTAGGGAAGATCTCCTGGAAAAGGGAATGGCTACCCACTCCAGTATTCTTGCCTGGAGAATTCCATGGACAGAGGAGTCCAGCGATGGCTCTCTACAGATTCCAGCCAGCAAGCAACAGGGAAAGGTAAGGGGAGGACAAGATCTGGTAGGAGCATCCATCAGTTTTTGGACTGTTTTGTCTTTTAAAATTTTTATTTATTGTTGTATTTATTTATTTGGGGACTGCGCTGGGTCGTGGTTGCTGCCCATTTGCAGGCTTTCTATAGCTGCAGTGAGCGGGGGTTATCCTTTGATGCAGAGTGTGGGCTTCTCTTACTGCAGAGCACAGGCTCTAGGCGTGGGGGCTTCCGCAGTTGCAGCACATAGGCTTCAGCAGTTGTGGCTTGAGGGCTCTGGAGCATGTGGGTTTCAGTAGTTGTGGCACACAGGCCTAGGTGCCTTGCAGTATGTGGAATGTTCCCAGACCAGGAATCAAACCCACATCCCCTGCATTGGCCAGTGGATTCTCAACCACTGGACCACTAAGGAAGACTTGAACTGTTTTCTCTTAAGGGCAAGATTCTAGAGGGTACTGCGGTAGGTGAAGTAAGATTCTCCTTTCAGACACTGCCGTAGTTGGCCTTGTTCCTGACAGTCTCTTCTATTTAGTTTTTTGGTAGGTTTTTCCAATCTCTTCACACATAGGGACTCAGTTTACATCAAACATAGCTTATTGTATGAGTGTTCTGGAAACTTCACAAACTTCCATTGAATTTTCATTCTTTCATGTGTTAAATTGGGAGTTCTGTAAAAATGGCATGATACTATAGAATTTATTAAAAACAGTTCCTTTGAAACAGTGCTTTCCAAGGGACCACTCAGTACTTTGTCTCAACGTTCTTGTAACATTTCTAGTCAATCATATTCTTGAATCTCTTTCTTGGGCTTACATGGCAAAGATGTTTTCCAGGTGCTTCTTCCCTCTTCACCCTCTTACATTTTAAATGTTGTTAATCACCCTAAATCCACTTCTTGGACTTCTGTGCTTTCTTTGGCCATAGCACGTGGCTTGTAAGAGCTCAGATCCCTGACCAGGGATTGAACACAGACACTGGCAATGAAAGCCAAGAACTCCAACCACTGGGCCACAAGGGAGCTCTTTCTCAATGAACATTTTTCCTTCAACTCCAGTTTCTTGACTCTAACTTACTCCAGTATATTTCTTACTGCAAGCCTGGATTCAAAACATCAGTTAAAGCAAAATGTACTACTGTTTTCTCCATAAACAAAGATCCCCTTCTGATTGTTTCTATAAATGTCATAAAGCATAGTAGACCCAGACATCTGGATTTAAATTTTAGTTCTGGAATCATGCAAGTTACTCAGAGTTCACATTTCTTCCTCATGAAATGGATATAGTAACAATAACTACCGCGTGTGTGTGTGTGTGTGTGTGTGTGTGTGTGTGTGTGTGTGTGTTTTAGTCACTCAGTCATGTCCAACTCTTTGTGACCACAGGGACTATATGGAGCCTGCTAGGCTCCTCTGTCCATGGGATTCTCCAGACAAGAATACTGGCTGCTGCTGCTGCTAAGTCGTTTCAGTTGTGTCCGACTCTGTGCAACTCCACAGACAGCAGCCCGGAGTGGGTAGCTATTCCCTTCTCCAGGGGATATTCCCCATCCTGGCATCAAACCCAGGTCTTCCACATTGCAGTCTTTACTATCTGAGCCACCATGGAAGCCACCTGCCTCATAAGGTGGTTTAATATTAAGTGTGATAACAGATGTGACATGACTGTGCCTGGCTCAGGAGCTAACAAATGTTAGCTGCTGCATCATCACTATCATCATCACCATCGCCAGCAGCATTACTCTCCTATGACACTTTTGTTCTTGCATAAAACTTACACTTTGTCACAGTCCCTGTAATTGCTTGTCTATTGTCTTTATCTCCTACTAGCTTATAAATTCTGTGAAGGCACAACTATTTTATATTTTGTCATTGGTGACCTGCCCGCCCCCTTCCCGCCCGCTCTGAGTATCACAGACTGTTTGGACATACTACCTACAGAATGAAAAATGAATGAAATTGGACTTTCCTGGTGGCCCACTGATTAAGAATCTGCCTGCTAACGTAGGGGACACAGGTTCAATTCCTGGTCCAGGAAGATTCCACATGCTAAGGGGCAACTAAACCCATGGGCCACAACTACTGAGTCAGTGCTCCAGAGCCTGTGAGCCACAAAGACTGAAGCCCGTGCACCTAGAGCCTGTACTCTGTAACAAGAGAAACCACCACAACGAGAAGCCTGTGTCCAGCAACAAAGATTCAGTCTGTCAAAAATAAATATAAATAAATTTGAAAAGTTAAAAAAAAATAATTTGTAAAAGAAACAAGACAAAACAAAGCAAAAAAAATGAATGAAGTTTGCAAGGGAAGAGGCCTAACTGGACTGTCTTCTGGTCCTATCTGTCTTTTGCATCTTGAAATTTGTCTCAAGAGGAATCTTCTCACACCCTTCTTAGGTCATGTCAAAAACCTTTAATCATGCTCTGCTGCCTACCAAAAAAATGCACAAACTCCTTAACCTGGCATCAACCTAATTTCCCACCTTTGTTTTCAACCACAGTACCAATTAAAACTTCTTGATCTGCATTCTGTTCCCCTCACTGACTTAGCCACCCCCTTCCACTCCCACTTTCTTTTATGTCTTACACTCTCCTACTTGAACAAACGATATCCATCCTCAGAGGTCCCATTCAGGTCCCACCTCTCTTTGGCTCTTTGGGGCTTCCCTGGTGGCTCAGCTGGTAAAGAATCCACCTGCAATGTGGGAGACCTGGGTTCTATCCCTGGGTTGGGAAGATCCCCTGGAGAAGGAACAGCTACCCACTCCAGTATTCTGGCCTGGAGAATTCCAGGGACTATAGCCCATGGGGTAGCAAAGAGTAGGACACGACTGAGCGACTTTCATTTCACTTCTCTTTGGAAACACCGCCATAGAAATCACTTTCTTCTGAATCTCCTTAGCCTTCTTCAACCCACTCCTTTGGAGCTTAATAACTGCATAGTAACAAGAGTCATCTTTCTTGAATATGAATTTATCTTCTCACATTAAGTGTAAGTTAGGTTGCCTGAGGTCTGGACCATGAGTATACTTTTAACCTCCGACTGCACCTAATATCATGCTCCACACACAAAAGGACTCCATGGTCTGTTGCCTGATTGCATGTACTGCCAGATTTATTTTTTTAAATATGCAGACTTTCTAGCATTGTACTGACCTTGACAGCAGCACAGTCTCTGATATCATAATCCTGCTGAAACTCATTTGCCGTGATAATAGTAGACACCTTAAAAGACAAGAGAGGCTTGAGAATTTAAGACTGATGTATAAATATTTGCAATTTAGATGTAATTTAGGCAGCTTTAATAACTCAAGTGCGTTCATATGTCAAGGGAGGAAAACTTTTTCATTTCTTTTTTTATGTCAGGATGCTAAATCATGAAGAGGACTTATAAAATGTCATGATGTCATTGTTTCCAAACAAAGGCAGCTACAGTTTCAGAAGTGGAGGTTAATTGTGTATTAAGTTCACAGTTGGAGCATGAAGAATCAGGGGCTTGCAAAATACTTCTTTTTTTGCATGTGTTGAAATGCTAGTTATTTGATTAACTATTCTCGGATATGCTCCAATTAGAAAATGAAGTCAAGGAATTTTACATTCAGAAAGAAAACACAGTGATTTGACACAACAGCAATGTGGAGCAAATATTCAATATTTGAGAATAATTTGTTTCTCTCAGTGTTAGCTAGAACCTCTCCTTAGGATAATGTAAACATTTGAAATAAGATTTAAGGACTTTTTAAGGTTCTCCCAAATTGTTCCTTCAATAAAGATTCTTTCTTTTTTTTTTTACATAACTCATACTTTTAGATAATAAAAATAAAAGCTTCTCATTATGAAAAAGGAAAAAAATCACTTTTACTATCCCCAAATGACTGCTATATTTATATATCTATATTTTTATGCTTTGGGGCTACATATAGAGACTATACATATGGTTATTTTTTTAAGTGAAAAATGAAATTAGTAACATCTTTTTCCCACTTTATATATGTGAATCTATTTCCACTTCAATAAAGATACATCTACATAGTTTTCATGGTTGTATGACTATATTAATTAGCAATCAACTTATTTGTTACTGAAACAAATGCTCTTTCCATATTATCCCACACAAGAAAGATTAAACTTACTGGTGTATGATCACTCCATTGCCAGGATCCTTGTAAATCAGGGCTCCTTTTATTCAAACCTATCCATAGCCAACGCTGGTCACTATGTAAAAAGGAAGTGTTAAGAAAAGATGAGCACAGCATTTGGCAAAGATATTTAGCATTTATACGTCTAAAATGCTTAACACAGGTAAGTTTATTCAGAAAACCTTGTCACTAACTGAGACACAGTTTCAAGCTATATAAAGAAGTCTTCTGAAATTGAACCGTAACTATGGGGTAGCCATCAAAAAAGTACCATTCCTTTTAAAACTAAATTTTATGTTATTTTCTTCATATGAAAGGCAAAAATTCTTCTGCTTTGAAGAACTTAAGAGTAAAAAAAAAAGAGTATATGATCATTTTAAAACTTTTACTGCAGAGCTTCAATATTAGATAATGTTTTCAGATGCAAAACAACAATAGCAGGACTTCCTGGTGGTTCAGTGGTTAACACTCTGCACTTCCAATGCAGAGTGCGTGGTTTCCATTCCTGGTCAGGAACTAAGGACCCATATGCCATGGGATAAGGTAAAAAATAAACAAACAAACAAAAAACAACAACAGCAAAAGTTTTTACTTATAGCATTTTTCTATAACTATCAAATATCTTTTCTTTAAGGTGCAGGACAAACCACTTAGCTAACCTTTTATTAAATAAGATTTAAAAAAAATTAATTCCCAGTGCCCACTAAGTTAAAGACAGACAAGCATTTAAGTATTTTATAAACACCAAACTCCATGGGTTATACTAGAACAATACAATTAAGCAATCACTTAAGTGAATACATTTAACATTCATAACTATTATACTTTAGTGTATAAATCATTGAGCTATGTGCAGTGATCATAGAGAGATGTACCAGACATAATATCTACCCTCAAGTGGCATGTAAACTGGTCAGGGAAACAAGATGTATATGAACAGAGAAAATATAAGGTCATTTTTGAAAAAGCATCAAATGATAAAAATTTGGATATATTTAAAGTAGTACAAAAATTTGAAAAAAGGAGAGGTCATTGTGAACTGTAGGAAGTCAGGAAACATTTTATAACATTAGTAGAACAAAAGACAGTCTTCAAAGAATAGCTAATGTCTCTTTTGAGTCATAATCTGAATGTTTACCACGTGTCAGTATTCAGACTGGCTGAGAGGAGAAACAATAGGAACTCCAAGGAAGAATGTACACAACAACATACAGAGACAGGGACACACATTGTCAGTGATCCCCTTCCCTCAATTTAATGTATGCTCTAGCCAGGGAGATACTTTCAGTATAAACAGAAAAGAAATAACCATAAAAAAATTTCTCCACCGCTAATTTTTCTTGAAAATACTCTCTAAAATGTAGTATACTTCTTAGGCCTTAATAAGTAGATCATTTTCCATGCATTTTGGGGGAGTGACACTGGTTACTTTCTGTAAAATTTAACCTTTTGAGTGTATATATCATGTACCATCAGTACATGAGTGAAAATTATAGATGCAACATAATACATATATACATATTAAATATAACTAGAACACATATTAGAAAAGGAGTAGAATCCAAATCCAAAATTAATTTCTATTTTCAAGCTCAGTAGAATATATGGATCATACAGTTACAGGACTGCTGGGAAATATAGTAAGTTTGCATTTAAAAATATTTGCTAGTGAATCCAAGGCAGAAACAAACTTCAATTTAACTTCTCACTTTTTAATAAAATAATTTTCTTCATTTATTTCCTCTGTTCAACATTCCCTCATATTTTAACATTAATAAGCACATTTTTCATCTTGCCAACCTCAAGCCTCTCAACTTATTGCAATGGAATATGAGGACAGTCCCCTTTCAGTTGTTTACTGTTATATTGTTTTCTTTCAAAATGAAAGATCACCAATATGTAAAGTTAAGGTAAATCAAGTGGACATGATTAAGTCCAGTTTGAATTTAGCAGCTAAAAAATGATTTTTCAGTTCGTGTCTTCAACTAATCAGAGATTTCTTATAGACTTACAAATGTATCATACTTCTTGAGTGTTGGATTTCTAAATCACAAGGTCTAGATAGTTGCCAAATACATTATAATAAAAGACAGCTAAAATAAAGAGGTCAAGTTTGTTTCCTCTTATTTCATTTCTTTCTAATCTTTGTAGATTATTTATTTGGGCCTGGAGAATTTATGCAGAATTTTGCGTTTCCCTAAAGTAAGCACTGGGCTTCTCTTGTAGCTCAGATGGTAAAGAATCTGCCCGTAAAGCAGAGACTTGGGTTAGATCCCTGGGTTGGGAAGATCCTCTGGAGAAGGGAATTGCGACCCACTCCAGTATTCTTGCCTGAAGAATTCCATAGACAGAGGAGCCTGGTGGGCTACAGTCCATGGGGTCACAAAGAGTCAGACTTGACTGAGCAGCTAACACACACACAAAGTAAGCATTAGATATTTTATCTTCTTTACACAATCAACAGTACAACCCGAAGATGATCAAAGATCATCTGCAATCTGCATTTATTCTATAGCAGTGGTCCCCAACACTTTTGGCACCAGTGACCGATTTCACGGAAAACAATTTTTCCTCATACTGGCAGGTGGGGGTAGAGAGGTGGTTTTGGGATGATTCAAATGCATTATATTTACTGTATACTTTATTTCTATTATATCAGCTCCACCTCAGATCATCAGGCATTAGATCCCAGACGTTTGGGATCACTGCTCTGTAGGCAGCTCCCACAGAAAACTCTTCAGACGTCTGTCTCCAACATTTCCACCCAGGCTGCTCTTAACTCCCCATCTTCCCTTAGAAACTTCTGCTTCCAATCCCATTTCTGCCTCCTCTGCTGAATCTCAGTGAGCAGTCTCTGAGACAGCGGTTTGCCTCATGGTCCAAAATTTCTGATCTGTACTACTTTCTGAGATTGAACTGCATTTCAACCCAGATCTTTGTAGTTTTCGGCTTTCCTTTCAAGGGATTTATTAATGTGTTATAAATATAGAAAATAGTAGCTACTCGTGGGATTTTTTTTTTTTGGTGTGTTAAGAGGTGGAAAATATTTCCTCATTTATAACCTATTTCTGCTTTGGCCTGGTTTATTAGGCAGATAAAGAGAAGAAGAAAATTGGAAATCACACTAATCATTGCACACCTCTAATGTAGATTTTAAAAAAATTTTGAAGGAAGAAATGGGTAACTGAGGAATTAAATCAAACTGAAAGTTTCTGTCTCTTTATAAATTTCTTCCACTCCAAGTACTAAGGCTATGAGGTGAAGAAGACATTGCATGAAAGGTTACTATGTGTATCTGTGGTAAAATTTCTACTCTCAATCAAATTTCCTGCTGCATCTGGTTCCTAAGGAAAACAGTACCTGAGCAATAACTGCTAATAAACACAATTTGAAGGGGCTGCTTAGTCTGTAAAGCCTTAGATTTATATCCAAATCCATTCATGCCACTTCACTGGAGGTAGCATACACAACAGCAATTGCTCTGCAAACAAAGCTTTCTTCCCTAATCCTAAAGCTCTTTTTGTTTTACAATGGCTTTCCCTGGTGGGCTGCTGTTAAGAGTTGCAAAGATCTTAGAGCCTCAGTGATTTGGTGCGCCCTGAAGCCTTTTCACTGAAATACAGAGATGTGGAACTCAGATCGTGAGAAGTAGAGCAGTAATCTGACTTCACTCCTTGGCAGGCAAAACACAATTTGGACAATGGACATCTTGCTGGGAAAGGTCAATCCCTGCAATAAAAAGCTAAAGGTGTTCAAGGAATAAGCTTTAGAATCACTTTCTGATATAAATGGGCTTGCTTCCTTCCTTTTCTTCAAGCCATGGTTATATTAAATAGGTTTTAGAATATGTTGTCTAAGTATAGCATGAACCAATGATCTCTCATTAACAGAGTGTGTATTAAGCAGACATTATGGTCTGTTTAATATGGCAATGTATCAGAGGCTAAAGTGAAAGTGAAAGTGAAGTCGCTCAGTAGTGTCCAAAACTCTTAGAGACCCCATGGACTGCAGCCTACCAGGCTCCTCCATCCATGGGATTTTCCAGGCAAGAGTACTGGAGTGGGGTGCCATTGCCTTATGGTCCCCATGACTGAGATTAAGGTGATCTGCTGTTTCTCTGTGCTGTTTTCTTTTTTAAACTTTTTATTTTATATTGGGGTATAGCTGATCAACAATGTTGTGACAGTTTCAGGTTAACCACAAAGGGACTCAGCCATACACATACATGTGTTCATTTTCCCCCAAACGCCCCTCCCAAGCAGGCTGCCACATCAGACTGAGCAGCATCCTCTGTGCCACACAGTTAAGTCCTCGTTAGTTATCCGCTTTAAATGTTACACTGGGCTTTGTGCTTGTTATTTTACTCCTTTATAATTTGCTGTATGGGCCTTTCCACCCATTAAATATTTGGTGGATGAATATACTCTTTACAGTTTTAAAAATACATAAAATCTGTGTTTATAAATGCAATTTCCAGGTAAAATGAGGTATTTATTATGCTTTAATTTTTCAAAACCATTTTATTTCTTTACAGCCCAGTTAGTATTTATAAACAGTTACAAACTCTGGTATGAAGCAGACTTAATACTGATTTTATTAAAATATTATTGTTTCTCTTTCAGAATTTAGGATAATTTAATTTTTCAGTTACATAGATTGAATTACTTAGACTGGAGCTATGTTTTTATGTTATGTATTCTTCTTTAAAAACAAAATATCTATTCATGTGTTTTTGAATACCTCTCAATTGGAATATGTCTTTGAAATTTTTTTCAAGTGCACTTAGTCGCTCAGTTGTGTCTGACTCTTGCGACCCCATAGACTGTATGTAGCCTGCCAGGCTCCTCTGTCCATGGGATTCTCCAGGCAAGAATACCGGAGTGGGTTGCCATTTCCTTCTCCAGGGGATCTTCCCAATCCAGGGATCAAACCCATGTCTCCTGCATTGCAGTCAGACTCTTTACCGACTGAGCTACAAGGGAAGCCCTCATTTTTTCAAGTAGGGAGCATAAATAGTATCAATTAGTATCTTCACAAACGAAAAAACCACTAAATTGGGAACTAAAATCAACACAATCAAACATTTACCACCTCAAAACTTTTTAGATCTCAATTTTTAAAATGCCTTCTTATATTTAATGCCCTAGAGGAAGCGGCTAATTGGATTTTCTTTGTGTTTTGGTACCTGTTTTGCTGGTTTTTTTTTTTTTTTTGAGTCAAAATGATCAGGAAAGTATTCACTAAGATATATTCAGGTGGTGATTCTTTTCCATAATTTTGCCTGGTATACCCTGAATACTAGATTTATAAATTTCAGTCTTCTTTTCAGTTCAAAGAGTGAGGGGGAAAATAAATCATGATGTAAAAGGCCCTCATACTCATGACTGCCCCAGAGCCTCAGAAAAAATTTCCTCCTATGATACCAACACTTGGCCCATATTTCTCCACATTATCCTTGAGGATATCAGGAAAACTATTCAGGAATCCTCCTTCTACATAACATCAAAATTACAGTGGCTTGTTGACTCCATCTTTGTAACATCTCAGACTACTTCCTTTACTGTCCCATCTTACTGCCCATCTTCAATATAGTTTTCTACCAGAGGGGCTGCAATAGCTTTAGAATTAATTATTCTGCATCTATCCCATGTCTGTCTTGTCTGTCTGTCTCTCTCACGCACACACTTTGTTTTTGTTTGAATGCTTTTTGCTTATTTACTATAGATTAAACTCCTTCCCTAGCAAGAAAGGACATTCCAATTTCATATGCAAATTCCATTTTCTAGCGATGTTGTAGGCTCACTTTTCCTTGACCATATCTGCATATTCTGGTCTCAGTTCCTTTGCTTATGTTCTGTTTTCCATGGCTCCTTCTCCCATCTTACCCTTCAAATATTCCATTTTTAAAAACCTAATTGCACTTATTTATCTTTGGCTGTGTGGGGTCTTCATTGCTACATGGGCTTTTCTCTAGTTGTGGTGGGCAGGGCGGGGGCTGCTCTCTAGTTGCAGTGCGCGGGCTTCTCATTGCAGTGGCTTCTCGTGTTGCGGAGCACAGGCTTCGGTAGTTGCGGCCCATGGGCTCAGTAGTTGCAGCTCCTGGGTTTCAGAGCACTGGCCAAATAGCTGTGACACACAGGCTTAATTGCCCCCTGGCATGTGGGCTTTTCCAGGATCAGGGATCGAACCTGTGTCTCCTGCATTGGCAGGTGGATTCTTTACCACTGGGCCACCATGGAAGCCCCTGCCTTACTTTCTAAGAACCATCCTTCTTCATAACATTTTCCTCAATTGTACCACCCAGAAACACTTCCTCCCTGCTCTAAATTCCCATGCCCTCTCCTTACCAATGTTCTAGACTTTTCCACCATATTTTTCTTACCCCCACTGTTGGACTTTATTACACTACACAAAGGGTGGTGACTCTGTCCCTCTAGGCTCTGATCCCTCATAGCATCTTGCACATAAGAATGCTTAATGTTGAATGACTGTTAAAATACTGAATGATCCTTTAGATAATAAACCATGTCAATTCCGAATACCTGTCGTTTAGTTGCTAAGTCCAGAGAAGGCAATGGCACCCCACTCCAGTACTCTCGCCTGGAAAATCCTATGGACAGAGGAGCCTGGTAGGCTGCAGTCCATGGGGTCACACAGAGTCGAACACGACTGAAGTGACGTGACTTAGCAGCAGCAGCAGATCTCTTTCACAGATCCTACAGACTGTAGCCCGCCAGGCTCTTTTGTCCATGTGATTTCCCAGGCAAGAATACTGGAGTGGGTTGCCATTTCCTTCTCTAGGGGATTACTTAGAGGATGTCAAATTTAGGATAGAAGATCTTACTCTAAAAGATCAGAACTTCTGCCTGAACCTTACCTGAACTGTTCTAGTAAAAAGTGAAGAAACTCCTTTATTTCGTCCATGTGACTGAAGCTAGGAAGGTGTCCTCCAAGCGCTTGGCAGAATCGCTCAGCTTCTTCCCAGTTTCTCTTTCTTACAATTCTTTCTCTATGAAATAGCTTAACAAAATATAATGTTAGTTTGTTTTCTTACAGTATCATAAAGTATTTATAACTTTAAAGTCGATCACAGTTGAATGTGTGGATCTCTGAAACGGATTCTTAGAAGTGTAGCAGACTGAGGTAAAGGCACATATACTGAGACACAGAGAGGTCCTGCTCAAAGTGTCAACCAGAGGCCAGCACAGGCATCGGTCACTGTCACTGGCGGGATAACCTTCCTTAGCCAGGCTGGGGAACTGCCCTGACATGACACCATTTCCTCTTGCATTCCAAGAATCTTGAGAGATAGAATGAAGTAAGGTTATAAATAATACACATGAATGCTCTGGGAGTAGATTTCTGCAAAGAAATGCACTAACGGCAAATTCTGAACATATACACTGAGCCCTGAACAAGTACGGAAGTACTTTTGATAAAGAAGAATCAAAGGGCAGACTGCACTGAAGTGTGAACATTTACAGAAGATGGCAAAACAAAACTTGCCACCTTGGACTGTTCCTTTGGTTTGTGATGACTGATTTTATGGCAAATGAACCACAGTCATTTCAAAAGTAGAAGAGGAGCAGATGACACAATGGTAGGTTGAATTTATTGGTCCTGATTTTTCAGTCCCTGTGATATAGTTATCCACTCTTGCCATCATGGCTTCCTGGTGGGTGAAGGATATGTCCCTGTGCCTTGACCTGGGGCTCAGCCATGTGACTTGCTGTAACTGATGGGATAGCAGTGAAGGTAAAGTGAGCAGAAGCCTAAAATGTGCTTACTTGGGTTAGGCTTGCATTTCTGGCTCTAGTAACTCAGTATGGGAAGAACAAGCCCCTGCTAGCTGCTCCTCCTTTTGCCTGACACTACTCTGAAGAACAGCAGACCCCAACTGATAGCGTGGAGGCCAGCACAGCTGACCCACAGCTGAGAGCAGAGCTGACCAGTAAAGCCCAAATTCAATCATTCAAACTCTATAGACCCAGAGATCTGTGAACATGAGACTCAGTGTTGTCATAGCCACTGAATTTTGAGATAGTATGAAATAATTTCTTTGTGGGAACAGTTGGCTGATACGAACTCTAAAACAAATTCTTTGATGTGTAAGAAGTGACAGAACTCTTCATTTGACAATAATTAGAGGGATTTGAGAATCATAAATGAAGTATCACAATGGCATGTAGCTCATCCAACTTTCCAAAACAAAAGAACCCTAGGAAAGAGCCATTCTGACTCTGGCCCTGCTCCTTTGGGTCGTACATGAGTGTACATGGAAATAGGGTATCTGACACAGAGGTTCACTGATACTCTGATCAGACAAGGACTCTGTGCTCCTAAACACTTTGGCAGGGGGACGTGTGTGTCTGCGGAGAAGCAGAGTTTGTGCAAGGACATGGACTAGGATAGGAGAGAGATGATTTTGAGGGATTGAATGAGAATATTACTTTACCTTGTAACAAGAAAGACCTGACGGGAAATTGTGCCAGCCTTCAGGACAGGGGTCTTCAGGCTTGGGGGCTGCTTTTTCAGGCTCAGAGTGTCCACTTATTTTCTTGCAAATTGAAAGTGCCCTGAAACTTCTGCAGTCTTTTACCTCCCACTTTCCAAGAGACTTTCCAGTAGCCATAGCCACACATCCTCCTGGAGAAGCTGGGGTTGAATGGAAAAGTTTAACTGAAAATTACATTAGAACATTTAAGTACAAACACTTTCTAGTGCCTACACTCCTCATTTGATTCAAGATGGCAGAAGAGAATAGGAAAGAAAATGGAGGCAATAAATGTACTTTCACAATAATAATGGCGACAGTAATACAGAGACATGCTTACTTCTTGCTGGGTACTATTCTAAGCAGATTAAATGAACTGATCCTCACATAGAGAGGATTCTATTGTCAGACTGAGGATTAGTGATGTGTCCAAGGTCACATGTGAGTAAATAAATGGTTGACCAGGAACTGAAATCCAAGTAGCGTCTGTGTAGAGCTGAACCTTAAACCACTTCGATGCTCTGTATAATCTAAATTGTTTGTATTCGCCTAACAACTTACAACAGTTTTTGAGCAACTTAGTAAACCTCAAAACAAAATACTCCCAGATTCAAATCCAAAGGAAGAGCTGGTTCAATAAAGGTAAAAGGAGGTGTGTGGTAACACTCATTTGTTTACTATTTATGTCAGCCAGAATTATATTTACTCACTACAACATTAAAAGATAGTTTGTATCGTCAGATCCATCTCCAGATGAAATATGAGTGACTTGCCCACAATCATAGTTAGTGAGTGGTGGAGTCAGAACTGGAACCCAGATTTGCTAACAAAATACCACACTCCCTTTCCCATGACTTCACACTGCTTAAAATGGGCAAAGGAAAAGAAGAGCATACATTGCAAAGTAATGAGGATGACTTCCATTCCATCACACAGAGAAGCCATACAGACTCATGTCTCATAACACAGGGACAGCAAGAGGAAAAAGGAACTGGGAAAAACAACACCCCTGGGTGGGTGTGCTATCTTCCCCTCGTCTACTCTCTGCCATGGCTTACCCAGTGCAGACCAAACTGGCTGAATCTGGGAGTGAAAAGATAAAGAGGACTTAAAGACAGTCTTTCTGGCTACAGACTGAGAGGACAGCCATTGTAGCTTACTTCCTGAGCACCCTTTCAACCACTGAGGCTTACCCAGGAAGAATTTGACACTGACTCTGAACTATCACAGTGTCTCTAAGAGAAAGCATGTGTTTTGTATATTAGAACATTCTAATTTAAGATGAAATCGAACCAGGATCAGCACCTGTATCCTCCATGTTCTGCAAGTAAAAAGACGACTTTGATATTATCAATACCACTCATATTTATATTGATGATCAAGTATTACAAATTTTGTGGACATTCTCTATCTCAAATATTGTGTTTAACTATACATTCACATGCTCCAAGTTTTATGTTATAAAAATGGCCTTCATGATTCACTGTACAAAACATAAGAAAACATAAATAATTCAAAGGAAGAAAAGTCAAATGCTTCATAACTGCTCTCTCATACAAAGTCAAAATCCTCTAAAAAGCATTGGTTTAGAAATCAGATCAGGATTTTAGCAGTTCAATAACCAGGTCACCTTTGTCAAGTAAATCATCTTTCTAAGCCTCTGTTTCCTCAATTCTAAAAACCAAAGGGAATTCTGAGGCTCAAATGTCTGATTCTATGGCTCATTATGGTCAACGCTTTAGGCTAAAGAAGGATAAACTAACTTTCAGAATAAATAATTCATGGCCTCCTTAATTATCACCCCTTGAGAAGAAAAGAAATAGACACAATTCACTTTGGAGAAAGAAGTTAAGAAGCAGAGAGGTGAAAATGTAAAGTGCTCACGATGAGACTTTCAGGTTCTGTTTGAGAGTTATATGGAAAAGATGCTACACTCACACTGACAGTTCTAGTTCTGTGCCATTAGATGGTGGTTTCTGAGAACCAAAATTTCCAGCTTTTACTGGGTAATCCCTGAGGATTTCATAGGGGAGGCATGGTCACTGCTTCTATTTATGGTTCCATACATAGACTCTAGTCCAGATGATCATCATCTCCTTCACATTTCAAAGGTAAGTGAAGAATAGATCTGGGAGGAAAGCTGTCTCTCACGTCACTGTATTCTACTGCTTTAGAGGCTAAGACACCTACCTGGCTCAAAAAAATTCCAATTGGAAAAGGTTACAGCCCGCTTTACTCCACCAACACTTGCCCAGCTATATTCTCCATTTGCACCTGTATCTCTCAGGCCAGTCCAGAAGTATTTTTCTGGAGACACGGTATGCTTTTTAATCATATCATTCAGGTATTCTTGCTCAAATCTATAAAATGAAAGTCAGATCAGTAGGTGTTTTTACAAAGACAGAATTAGTATATAAATTGAAGATGAACTTTGTTTTTCAGGAAGATTATTTGTCAAAGGAGCCCAGAGTTAGAAGTTCACTAGTACGTGTTTACTGATGGTCACACCTGCTAGTTATAGTCAGATTGCAGTTGGTCCCAAAGGGGACTTCATCCTTGTAAATCTTGTAACAGGTCTCTCCATGTCTCTTCCAGCCCTAAATCAGAGGAAAAATATCATCACACTGTCTTCCAGAATTGGTGACAAGCAAGGTTCTGCTACACAGGTTAACATCTCACAACTAATAGAAATTAAGGACACGGCTAGAGAATTCATACACATGATGAGGGTGGGATATAATTTCATGGATAACCTTCATAAGCTTGTGATCTCGTGTCAGACAGAAGGCATGTCTTAATTTTCTTTACCCCCAATGTCTTTCTTGGGCTTCCCAGGTGGTGCTAGTGGGAAAGAACCTGCCTGCCAATGCCAGAGACATAAGAGATGTGGGTTCGATCCCTGGGTTGGGAAGATCCCCTGGTGGAAGGCATGGCAACCCACTCCAGTATTCTTGCCTAGAGAGTCCTATGGACAGATGAGCCTGGTGAGCTACAGTCCATGAGGTCGTAAAGAGTCAAATACAACCAAAGCGACTTAGCACAGCACAATGCCTAGCTCATTTTAAGACTATAATAGTTGTTAGCTCAATTATTTTTGAACAATAATAATGAGTAGAAGTAAAAAATCAGCATTGAGAAGAGTAATCACATATATTCTTATAGAAATTTATGAATAGGTAATTCTTTTTCCTATAACTTTTTTTTCTCTTCTGTAGGAATGCTATATAAGTGATTCACTGCCTTCTGGCTTGGTCTATTGTAAATGAACAGAAGCTAGTAATTTCTTTGTTTTCCAAGTTTAAACTGTTTAAGTTCAGTTACCATCTCTAACCAAAAAGTTGTAATATTGCTTAGAAAAATTTACACAGGCATTTTACATACCTCATCTGGAGGACACATCTTATCAGATCTTGTGTCATTCAATTTTTCTCCCTTTTTCTTACACACATATTTAAGTTTCTCCTCACATGATCGGACCTTCCACTGACCGAGCTTTTAAAAAACAGAACATCATTTCTTTCACAAGAGAAATTATTTTCCATATATTTAGAATTGGACTCATTTTAAATCAAGATAATTTCTTCTTACAACTATCAGGGAGGATGAGGGGAGGAGGGAAAGAAGGAAAGGGAGGCAGAGAGAATGAATATAACTATTATAATTAATAGTTATATTAACTATTAATATTTTATTAATTAATATAATTAAGAATATAACTAATATAATTATTCCTGAGAACATACTCCTAGAAAATGCTGCCCAACAAGACTGGAAGCCGGTTACTTCAGCATCACCTCAAGGTCACAATGGGGATGAAGTTCATTTTCTTATAAGTGTAACAATAAAAACTATTAAAGGACACTTATACAGAAGTTGAAGAGAGAAGAACCCAGCCCGCAAAGAGTTGCCAGTGTTCTAATCTCCTTCCATGGGACACAGACAAAGTTTGTCCGCGGGTTCATACCTTTGGGGCAGGTCACTTAATCTCCCTGTCTCAGTTTCCTCACGTGTAAGATGATGGTGATCAGAATAACTGCTAAGAAGTTTAGAATCAAATTTTTCTTCCAGCTACACTGCAGTCCAGATGTCAAAGTTCTCTCTTTCAAATATGCTACTTAACATTTATTTTGCTTGAGTCACTATGCTTTCTTTGAATGAAATTTTAGAAAGTCAGTTGTGATACAGGTCAGTTTTGAACACTGAAAGCCATCTAGGTAAGCCGTCAGTTCACTGTGGCTTGCGGGACCTCATTTCAACCTTTGATACTCTTTTAAATATATCCTGTGTATCCTTTTAAATACAGCATTAAATGTGACACCCTTCTAAATTCAGCTTTACACCTTTCTAAAAACATCTTTTAAGATGATGCTGTGAAAGTGCTGCACTCAGAATGCCAGCAAATCTGGAAAACTCAGCAGTGGCCACAGGACTGGAAAAGGTCAGTTTTCATTTCAATCCCAAAGAAAAGCAATGCCAAACAATGCTCAAACTACTGCACAATTGTACTTATCTCACACGCTAGTAAAGTAATGCTCAAAATTCTCCAAGCCAGGCTTCAACAGTACGTGAACCATGAAACTTCTAGATGTTTAAGCTGGATTTAGAAAAGGCAGAGATCAAATTGCCAACATCCACTGGATCATTGAAAAAGCAAGAGAGTTCCAGAAAAACATCTATTTTGCTTTATTGACTACTCCAAAGCCTTTGACTGTGTGGATCATAACAAACTGTGGAAAATTCTTCAAGAGATGGGAATACCAGATCACCTGACCTGTCTCCTGAGAAATCTGTACCCAGGTCAGGAAGCAACAGTTAGAACTGGACATGGAACAACAGACTGGTTCCAAATCGGGAAAGGAGTACATCAAGGCTGTATACTGTCACCCTGCTTATTTAACTTATATGCAGAGTACATCATGCGAAATGATGGGCTGGAAGAAGCACAAGCTGGAATCAAGATTGTTAGGAGAAATATCAATAACCTCAGATATGCATATGACACCACCCTTATGGCAGAAAGCAAAGAAGAAATAGAGTCTCTTGATGAAAGGGAAAGAGGAGAGTGAAAAAGTTGGCTTAAAACTCAACATTCAGAAAACTAAGATCATGGCATCTGGTCTCATCACTTCATGACAAATAGATGCGTAAACAATGGAAATAGTGAGAAAAGTTATTTTTTTGGGCTCCAAAATCACTGCAGATGGTGACTGTAGCCATGAAATTAAAAGATGCTTGCTCTTTGGAAGAAAGCTATGACCAATCTAGACAGCATATTAAAAAGCAGAGACATTACTTTACCAACAAAGGTCCGTCTAGTCAAAGCTATACTTTTTCCAGTAGTCATGTATGGATGTGAGAGTTTGACTATAAAGAAAGCCAAGTGCCAAAGAATTGATGCTTTTGAACTGTGGTGTTGGAGAAGACTCTTAAGAGTCCCTTGGACTGCGAGATCCAACCAGTCAATCCTAAAGGAAATCAGTCCTGAATGTTCATTGGAAGGACTGATGCTGAAGCTGAAACTCCAATACTTTGGCCAACTGATGGGAAGAGTTGACTCATTGGAAAAGACCCTGATACTGGAAAAGAAGGAGAAGGTGATGACAGAGGATGAGATGGTTGGATGGCATCACCGATGCGATGGACATGAGTTTGAGTAGGCTCCGGGAGCTGGTGATGGACAGGGAAGCCTGGCATGCTGCAGTCCATGGGGTTGCGAAGAGTCAGACATGACTAAGCAACTGAACTGAACTGAAAAACATCTTTTCTAGTGAAACACTTCTAAACAACCCTATAATTTATTGCTTCCACTTAAGTTTCTCTAGAAGTTTGGGTGATACAATCAGCCTCCAAAACAAGAGTTCACAGGAAAGTGCTACAAACAAAAATATAGAGACACTTGTGTCCCTTTGGCTCAAGATTGCTTATCCTGTACATGAGACAGGGTGCTCAGGGCTGGTGCACTGGGATGACCCTGAGGGGTGGGATGGGGAGCGGCAGGAGGGAGGGTCAGGATGAGGAACACATGTACACCCATGGCTGATTCATGTGAATGTATGGCAAAAACCACCACACTATTGTAAAGTAATTAGCCTCCAATTAAAATAAACTTAAAAAAAAGATTGCTTATCCTGGACTCTTAACTGAAGCATGCTCAATAAACATTCATGAATTCTATAGCAGTAAGATGTTTATTGGGCCTAATTTTTAATAAAACCATTTTTTCACTTCTCAAAGTGAGACTAATATAACACGTGACATGAACACAAGACAATGGGATTTTCCAGGCTACAATGTGGCTACCTGCTAAATATTACTGATAGAAAGCTTCTCAGAAACCATTTGGCGCAAGAATCTCAACTCCAAAGAGATTCTCTTGGTCTCTTTCACACCAGGGCAGGTACTCTCAGACAGGAATTGGATTGCTTCTTTAGTAATTGTTTTATTTACCTTTTCTCAGCAGTTACTAGAAAGATAATCTACAGTGCAATTACCTTTTATTTTCTTTCCTAGCTTAAACACAAATATTCCAATGAAAGTCACCTTATTATAAGATTATCAGGTATAACAGTAAGGATATAAATAAATCCAAGGAGGTTTCCTACCTTTCCAAAATAGGAAACACAGTTGGGAGTCTTATTATAGGGAACTTGTGGCTCATTCTCATCCCAGTAAGTTAGAGTAACTTCAGTACCATCTGACCACTGAAATAGGGCTGGTGTATTTATATTCCTAAGGCCTGTCCACATTTCTTCTTCGGCATCTAAAAGAAAAATGCTTTGTTTGGTTACTCAGTCACATACTTCCACATAGAAACTACTGCTGATTTTTACATTCTGATAAGGGGTGTTAGAGCCTTGATGGTATTTCTTTTCCTTTTAATTCAGAAAAGTGGTATTCTTAATTAGCTTGTAAAAATGTTGCTATGTTAGGCTGCCCTGATGACAAGGGCTTTTCAGGTCATGTATGCAGGCAGGGTACATAGGTTAGCTGTACTATGATTTGTAGGCTGGCTGTTCCTGGTACCTGGTTTAGATAAGCCTCGCTTTACGAGAAATAATGAAATTCTACTAACACAGTCATAGATACTCCAGTTAAAGTAAGAATATTGCCCATCACTGAATGACTGCACTGCTTTGCCAGGTAAAACAACTGGCACCACGCTGGCACAGAATATAGGTATCTGAAAATGAAGAGTGAAAGTGAAAGTGAAGTCGCTCAGTTGTGCTATTACTATGGGTGAATCCTAGGAGGAGATCTTAATACTGGCTCTCTGGTGTTTCGTTCATTATTTAGCTTCCAAATAATTATAAAAGTGAAGTAATCGTCACTTAAGTGTCGGGAGGAATTTAAATAGCATTCAGCTTATGAGAAGAGGGAAATTATTCAGTCAATGGTTGTGCTGTCAAGTTGGCAGCCACTTGCTACATGCGGCTATTGAAAATCATAAATCAGTTAAAATGAAATGAAAGCAAAAATTCAATTCTCCAGTCACTCTGGCTACATTTCTAGGGTTCAAAAGCCACAAGTGGCTGGTGGTTATTGAATGACAGCACAGATTTTCTGCTGGTTCCATCATGGCAGAAAATTCTATTGGATAATGCTGATGTACAGGATCAAACTGTAAGCTTTTCATTCTAAGAGTCTGAAAACAGGGATACTTTAAAATGTTTTAAACCTCTTTTTAAGAGGATATCTTAAAAACTTACCCCCATTATGAAGTTTTGTGACAACTACTTCCACATCTGCTAAAGAATGAATGCTGATGAGGTCACTGCTGAAGGTTTGGCATGTTGTATGCGCCTTATCCCAGGAATCACTTTCATTGACCAGCAGATAGCAAAAGCCATCATTTGGCACCCAGTCTGCAGCATCACAGTGGGTATCTGAGTATGTCCACACATCTGGAGGAAAAGAAGCTATTCATATTCCAGTAAAGATACATCTATTTTGAATCAATAACATTACAAATTCTTCTTTCCTGAATCATAAGGCTTCTGGAAAACTGAAGAACGGGATTTAAGATGGTACAGTGACATGAATTTATGCAGTGCACAGCATCATAAGAGTGACTGCAGGGATTCAGACAATAATTTGACTTTAAAGTGATACAAATTGGCTACATGGCTGGCTATAGACTATTTATAGAGGGATTTCCCTGAGTCCTAGTAGACAGAAGAAAAGTGTGGGATAAGTAAGTAATTGACAAATCTCTTCCTGGGTATGGGATTTGTGATGTTCCCCTCCAGTCTCTGCCTTTGAGAGATTATAAAGTTAAGCTTCCTTTTCAGGTATGGTCAGCTTAGCGAGGGAATGTACATTCGTGCTCATGGCTGAACAAGCAAGCAGAGATTTAAGGAACATAATAAGACATTTATTCACTTCACATCCAAGAAATGGCATCAGTGGAGGGAAAGGGCAAAGAGCATCTCTGGACCTCTTCTTTCCTGCCCTCTACTAGTCCTACAGGCCTCATGGAATGAGGGATTCTTTGTTTTGACTATAATAAAATTTAGTCAAGTTATGGTCAAAAAGATTAAAGAAAAAGAGTGAGGTATAAACCATAAAGAATATGTCTACCCCTTTTAACAGAACTAGAAAGTAGTTCAGCTATTCAGGCTTCATGGATTTGGACCATTTGGAATGTTTGTTATAAGACAACACATCTTAAAAATGTGGACAGTGTGTTTTTTACTAAAGGATAAAATCAGGTTCAGCTTCTCACATTTGCAAAATAACTCAATTAACTTTAAGGTTCTGAAATAGCACTTACTATTATATTTTACAATTATAATAAAGGAATAGAGGGAAAAACACTCACCATTGAACTTAAAATAATTATTTTCATATTATAGTCTTTGTCTCTATGAATACATATTTTTACAAGATTACAATGATAAGTAAGCATATGATTTTGTTCTGCTCTTTGTGTTTTCCCACTGGCACAGTTATTTTAATAAATGCACTTGTTCAATCATGTGGAAACATCATGATTTACTTAATAATTGCTACTAAAGGATATTTATTTGATCTATAATCAGTCACCCTGGTTTATTTTCATTTGTGCTGTCTTTTCTGCTATGCCTTTTGTTGTATGGACTAAATTTGGTTTGAATCAACTTGGAAGATGACTGTTCATTTTCCCCCATTACTTTTTAATCTTAAAAGAATAGCTTTATGCTCCTATTTGGATGATAAGAAATTTTATGCTTTATTCTCTTCTCTCAACAGTCTTTAAAGCACAAGACAATTTAAAACCTCTTCTCCCAGTTTTAAGTATTCAATGAGGATTTAATCAAATACCGGGTATACAGCGGGCCCCAAGCAAGACAATAAGAATATTTCTCTCCTCCATTCTTTTGAACACTTCTCAAACTTTTAATGGACCTTGGAAGTTTCAGCTGTCCTGTGTCTCTCTTACTCCCAAACTCCCTGGGAAAAAACACCTCTGCGCACATGTTTTGTCCATCTACACTTCTCCTTCCTACCTCATTTGTCAGAATCAGCCTGGTAAAGCAGAGAGGTGGGTGGGCATTGTAGGGCAATTCCTATGTCCATCATTTTTCACTCCCCATAGGGGCAGGTCATATGTAAGACCTCTCCTTAGAGTGTGGCTCTCAAACTTAAGAGTGTATCAGAATCATCTGGAAGGCTTTTTTTCTTTTCTCAAAGTTAACTTTTTTTTTTTTAATCCAGAGTCTTTTTTTTTTTTTTTTTATCCAGAGTCTTAAAAAAAATTTATTTATGTATTTGGCTGTGGCAGGTCTTAGTTGCAGCATGTGGGATCTTCCTTGTGTAACGCAGGATCTTTTGTTGGCGCACACAGACTCTCTAGTTGAGGTGTGTGGGCTTAGCTGCTCCATGGCACGTGCGATCTCAGTTCCCCAACCAGGGATAAAAACTGTGTCTCCTGCACTGGGAAGCAGATTCTTAACTACCCGACCACCAGGGAAGCCCCTGGAAGCACAGGTCGGGGGTCCCCACCCTCAGAGTATCTCATTTAGCAAATATGGGGTACATCCCAAGAATCTGCATTTCTAACAGGTACAGGTGAAGCCGATGCTCTTGCTCTGGGGAACCACTGCTCCAGGAAAGAACAGCCACCTGCGAAGAGAACTATATTTCCTATCTAGAATATCTCTGCCTTCTTATGGTCATATAACAAACTAAAGCTTTATTCATGTATAGTTTATAATATCTAACCACAGGGTCAATATCAAATACCTTCTTGCATTGGCAGTATCAGGTGAAGGAAAGAGGGAAACAGGTATCTGAAATGGATTTGCTTGATTTCATAAAACTAATTTTGCGACCTTTGTTGGAGGAAGTGAGAAAGGTACCTGTCAACTCCACTGTGCTATTTAACAGTTTCTCACAGACGTAGGGCAGTTGAGCCTCGCAGGAAAAACTCTGCCACAGACCCGAATCAGCATCCATTCTTGCACAGCTTGATCTGCCAATGGTAGGTGTCATCAGCACATCTGAAAGGGCAAGATTTTCAGAGTTAAAAGAAGAAGGTTAGGGCACGGGTGGTGGTTAGAAAAAATAATTTGTATTCTTAACTTTATTTATTGGAACTCACGAAATAGTTAAAACTTTTAACTACATTGAAATGTATAAGCTGCAATGGACAATCACGTGTTTAACTATGTCTTCTTAAATATAGGACATAGGAAATACTCTGATATGTTGTAGTTAACTTAAAAAACAAAACCAAAAACCAAACCTCTGCCCCTAACCAATTTGACTGTCATATCCTGTGGTCGGTAGTTCTTAATTTGCTACCCTACCCAATAAAAATGCTAATTTATGATTCTCCTATGCCTTTAAGGCTTTAAGATTAAATTATCTTTAAAGATTCTACTTACTGAGATAATAGAGAATTTACTTACTAAGAAAATTCTATTAACTGAAATGCCAGTGTATTGGTATTTTATTGCACTTATCTCATTTTTATTATATGTATGTAGAATACTTTGGTATTGAAGTTAGTGTTAATTTTTACAATCTACATTTATCAGAAGCCTATGATTTTATTTTTTAAAAAGATATCTAAACCTTTTTTGGGGAGGAGGAAGACCTTTTGACTAACTAGGGTTTTGTTTTATTCACTATAAAATTTTCTTAAGGATATTTATTTGTATATGAAAATATAACCATTATGTTGTCACTACTTGGGTGCTGCAGTGGAAGACCTCAAGAGTTGGAGAATGAGGAATTATTTCCACTGGATGGCATCACCAACTTAATGGACATGAGTTTGAGCAAGCTCCAGGAGCAGGTGATGGACAGGGAAGCCCGGTGTGCTGCAGTCCATGGGGTCGCAGAGTCAGACACGACTAAGCAACTGAACTGAATTATTTCCATACTAGAGTTAAGCTGCAGATGAAATGCAATATGGGTCAGTCATGGACGTGTCAAGTCCTCTCAGGGACACAGAAAGGTTCCTGGGCCATGAAGTGGGGCTCTTTCTGCTCCTACCTAAAAATGCAGGGTCACTCTAAAGATGAGGGACAAATGCTCAGTTGCCCATGGTGGTGGTCAACTTGGCTATAATGGAATCACAATAAAGAAGGGTTTAGGAAAAAAAAATTTTTTTCTGAGAGTTTGAAATTTGTATAAGCTCCCAGAGAGTGGGAAGCTCTTTTTTGAAGTTTATACTTTGTAAATGGAAGAGCAGGCAGTTACCTGGGTCCCAGTTGAGAAAGTTTAACGGCCTGTGGTCTGACCATTCCCAGCCTCTAGCAGAGTACAGCTGATTTAGACCAATCCAGAAAATTCTTGCAATGCCTTCTTTTCCTGTAAGATTTACACAGGTTTAAAAAGTGACAAAATTATGTGTTATTAATAATCCAGACTTAAGTTTATACTACTAGCAAAAACATCTTCAGGTCTTGATTATAAGGCAGGATCCCTGTAGGAGAATGTGTATCCAACAAAGGCAGGTGATGCTGACAGGCAGCAAAACTTCTACCTATTGAGAAGCCCAAAGGCTGCTAAGTTAATTCAATTCAGCTTCTCCATTAGCTTGTCCAATTCTTCCACGGTTGTATGGGTCCATGTGTATTGAAAAAAATGAGAATGAAGAGTCTGGGAAGAAGACGGTAGGAACAGAGGACCAATTATCACTCCAGTGAAAAGTAAATATGAGGTTAAGAGTGAAATACAAGAATACACTGTGCCTTCCAGGAGCTACACTGTGAAAGACAGAAGCAAGGGTTCAGGATCCAAGGGAAAAAAAATGTAATGGTAGATGTTTAAACAAGTTTATAGCCTATTTGGGAAGAATCAATAGAGTTTTGATAAAAATATAAAAGAAGAAACAGTTGATGAGGTTACAAACAGCTTGGAGGAAGTAGTTAACGTTGAACCACATGGAGAAATAACAGCATAGATAGAGAAAAAATTGTAAGTGTGATAGTGAGAAACTAAGGGTTGACCTCACTTTTCTCAAGGAGATAGATAAGGATACTCTCTCTACTAAGGAAAGAGAGGTGGATGTTTGAGTAGATGCCTTGAAGAGAATGCTGAAGGGAACTCTGGATTTTTCCTTTTTTTTCCACCTTGTTAGCATAAGCAAGGGCTGTCAGCACTGGTACAGCAAGACCTTGAGGAATTAATCTAATGTACATCTTTCTTTATTAGTAAATGTGATTGATTTCCAGCATTCCTAAAGAAGTCCTAGAAACTATGACATACATATGATACTCCAGACTCAACCATACTTGACATTCAGAATTCCTTTCATTCATTCATTTCTAATCAGGGATACTATACAGGGGACCAACCCTTCCCATCTATCCCAAGTTCAATGTCCTCTTTTCCATGAAACTTTTCAGATATCCCCCAGCAGGAATTCTGAATAACCATACTGCTTCCTTTAAATAATCCTACTGTTCACCCACATACAAAAAGTAAATGTTTACAATGGAACAAAATGATGTTTGGAGGGTATCAGGCTCCTGTTTACTTCATCACCATGTTCTATTCATGATCTGTATTGATGATGACTTATGCCTTATTCCTCACTAGAATCATAAGATTTTAAAATTGTGACTGTGATGATAACATCAGTGCTCAAAAGTTTTTGTGTGTCTTATGCTGAGTAGATGTGATAAATCTGAAAGACTCTGGCTGGGCAAATGCAAAGGGTAGGGATTTCTTCCCTGGTCTGGGATTGCTTACATGGTCTGGACAATTTGGAGCTGGACTTTTTTCCTTCATCTAGTCCAAACAAGGAATGCTATGATGCATTTGGAGGAATGTTTGGTAGAAACAAAAGAAAAGAAAGTGAAGTCGCTCAGTCATGTCTGACTCTTTGCAACCCCACGGACTGTAGCCTGCCAGGCTTCTCCATCCATGGGATTTTCCAGCCAAGAATACTGGAGTGGGCTGCCATTTCCTTCTCCAGTGGATCTTCCTGGCCCAGGGATTGAACTCAGGTCTCCTACACTGCAGGCAGACTACTGTCTGAGCCACCAGGGAAGTGGGTGTGGACCAATTTGAGGCTCTATCTCTGCCTGTCTTTGCCATCAACAAATAGATGGTTGCTAGCTTAAGTCCCTATGTGTAATCAAAGGGGAAAGTCCACTGAGCTAGATATTCCTGACCATCCCCAACACCCCTTTTCAGACATGACTCTATATTTCTATTCCTTTCCCCACAATGAGAAACTGTAGGGTCTGATAATGGTCATGCATCTGAGAGGAACATCAGAAAGGCCACAGTCAGCAGAGACCCTGACCTAGACATGCCCTAGCCTCGGGCCAACTATCAAGGGAGTTAAAAATGAGCAGTCCCTCAGGCAAGAGGCAAATTAGGAAGGACAGAAATGTGCTGTTCCTGCTGTTCCTGCTCTGGGGATTGTAGGTCCTCCTTTGTAGCTCTGGGTTGAATCTATGATTAGGGGTCCCTGAGAAGGACAAAGCCATAGGACATTCAACTCCCAAACAAAATCTAGTGAATATGAGGAAACCGAATCCCCCACTGGTAGGCCCCTTATATTAGTAAAACAAAATCAAAATAAACTAATTAGGTGCAGGGCAGGCACAGAGAAGAAAGAATGCTCTTTTAGACTGTGTGGGATTTGTCTTCAAGAGGGGTGATCCTACTTTATTTCTGACAGCAAATTCCCTAGTCCCATCCAACCACTAGCTACCAAACCTAGAGGTCATTTGGGAATAACACTCCCTACTATCTTTGTGTCTGTACAACTCTTATTTCCCTGACTAGATCAAGCACTTTGATCACAAATTTCTGATTCACTTTTGTGTGTGTGCTGTGTGTTCAGTCGCTCAGTCGTGTCTGACTCTGCGACACCATAGCCTGCCAGGCTCCTCTGTCCATGGAATTATCCAGGTAAGAATACTGGAGCAGGTTGCCATTCCCTTCTCCAGGGGACCTTCCCAATCCAGGGATGAAATCCACATCTCTTGTGTCTCCTGCATTGTCAGGCAGGTTCTTTACAACTGGCACCACCTGGGAAGCCGTTTTGTGGGCCTCACTCTTCCCAGTCCACTGTTTACACCTGCTAGTTTTCAGGGAAGGGATACAATATTAACAGAAATTTCTAAGAAATGTTTCAGATTTGGTTACTCTGAGTTTCAGATGTCAAAGTACAGCTTTCTTAGGTCTTAGGAAATTAGCAATCATAATTAGGCGTATTGAGCACTCATAGTGAAAGAGAAGCTTGGAAAATTAGAAAGGACTGCACAGCTAAGATTACTGATAAGCAAAAAATTGTGGGGAGTGTGTGGCCAGGGACAGCAGAAAACTGAATCCATTAACTCATTATCTCTCTTTTGCTTGTTATTAAAGAAAATTGATGCATAAAGAAATCCTGCAATATTTATTCCTTCAAATGCATCATCAGACTGTTTGGACTGGTGTTGACAGTCACACTTTGACAACGTTTTCCTTCACAGAAGCCATTAGCCTCCAAATGTCAGTATTCTGGGAGACGAATTTATTGGCACTTTTAATTCTCAACAGTATTTTTCGTAAGTTTTCAGTGGGGTCTGGAATAGAATCCCATTGCCTAACAGTAGCCAAAATTATCTTTCTTTGACAGATTTCCATTCAAGAGATCTGATTATTTCAAGTTCTGAATAACCCAAGAAAGTGTTAAAAGAATAAGAAAGAGATCTGAATAAATGTTAAGCCAAAAACCATGACAAAAGACCAGCAGAATTTTTTTGTGGTTACACTGGTTTATAACAAAAGTTTCATGTGTGCAATATTATGTTTCAACTTCTATATTTGGTGTGCTCACCAAATTTTAGAAGTTGACTTCTTTTAGCTATTTCACCCATTTCTTTTCCTGCTTCTTATCTTATAACCATTATTCTGTTCTCTATATATGTTTTTGTTTTGCTTGTTTATGTATTTGTTTATTTAAATATGTCATATGAGTGAAACCATACAGTACTTGTCTTTGTATGTCTGACTAATTTCACACAACACAACACTCTCAAGGTCTCTCCACGATGTTTTTCATAGAAATAGAACAAAATTTTATACAAACAAGATTCATATGGAACAACAAAAGACCCCAAATAACCGAAGCAATCCTGAGAAAAAAAACAAAGCTGGAGGTAACCACTCCCTGATTTCAAATTATATCACAAAGCTAGAGTAATTAAAACAGTATAGTATTGGCAGGAAAAACAGACACACAGATGAAAAGAGCTCAGAAATAAAGCCATGCGTATATGGGCAACTGATTTTTAACAAAGAACATACAATGGAAAAGGATAGTCCTTCCAATAAATGGTATTGGGAAAACTGGACACCGCCATGCACAAAAGAATGAAACTAGACCACTGTCTTGTACCACATAAAAAAATCAGCTCAAAACAAATTCAAAATTTGAATCTATGACCTGAAACCATAAAACTCCTAGAAGAAAACATAGGCAGTATGTTCTCTGACATCAGTCTTAGAATGTTTCTGGATAGATTTCCTTGGGCAAATGAGCAAAAGCACAAGTAAACAAACTGGCCTATATAAAAGCAGAAAGCTTCTGCACAGCAAAGGAAACTACCAACACAACAAAACAACCTACCAATGATACTTCATAGCTCTGGGATGTTGGGTGTATTATTTCTAAACATTGATCCCTAATCTGTAAGTGGGGATAAAAATACTTGCCATATGGCATTGTAAAGATGATTAATTTATAGGTGCCCCCTGAAAAACATGGGTTTGAACCATGCTGGTCCACTTACATGACGACTCTTTTCACTAAATACATACTATAGAACTATACAATCTACAGTTGGTCGAATCCATGGATATGGAACTGCATTCGTTTATTCAAATGTGAAGTTTTTTTTACTGAGGTGAACTACTTCAACTCAACAATCTTCTCCACTCTCCTCAAATTCTCTACTGTGCAATGTTCAAAGTATTTAATGTTCACCTTTTTTCAGATCCTTTCATTTAGACTTCAGCTAGCAGTTTAATCTTGTTACCTCACCTTGTTTTCTGAATATTTACCTCTCTTGGTCTTTATCATGAGATGCACTTTCAATGGACAGAAGAGGATTATATTCAGTATTTTTTTTTTTTACTTGTGGGCTTTGGTGTTAAATCCCAGGAAGAGACAGAGAAATAAAGAAGAAAACAACATACCTAGACATGAAAATAGAAGACAGCACCTTTACCATCTCAGCAATTTGCTCTACCACTAGCAATTAAACCTACTATTTTTTTCTTTTTATTTTTTTATTGAAGGATAATTGCTTTACATAATTTTGTTATTTTCTGTCGAACCTCAACATGAATCAGCCATAGGTATACATATATCCCCTCTCTTTAAACCTACCTTTAAGATAAGTTAACTCAGCAGCATTGTTGATGCTCAGTAAGTCAGCTCCTTGATTCTGACATGAAACGTAAGCTTCTTTCCAAGAAAGAGTTGCCTGAATATTAAATTGGTAGCAACTTCCAATCTCCTCGTTCTTTTCCCAATTATCTTCACAGCCACTTTCTGTTGATAAAAAGATATGTCAGTGATCATAAAATAAGGGCATAATGTTGTCTATTAATTAGAGTACTTACAAATACTGCCATTCAATTTGCATACTCTTAAGATACTCTAAGATTGAGGCTGTCATTGTTCTACTAGACAACATTTTGATTCTTTGGTGAAACGAAAAAACCAAACTCATAGGACAGGAAATGTCCTAGTTAAACTTTAATGTCCTAGTTAACTTTAGACTAGTTAAAGCTTCCATGCTGCTTCTAGCTTCTACTCTCCTTTTATATAACCCCATTGATTATAATGTCACATTTTAGCCCACGCCTACCCTCTGCCTAAAAACAGAACTTCAACTGTGTTCAACCCCCTCAGCTCACTTGAAGATGGTATCCAACTAAAGAGGAGTTTGCCCATGTTCTGCAGTGAAACCACTGAACATGTTTGCATGTGTGTGTGTTTAGACAATGCTTAAGTGCCTAAGATTTAACACGTAGTGATACCGTATTTGCAAAACTCAGTCTAGTTTTTCCTTATATTTTAAAAGATGATTTAATATATGACTAATATTACAGAATTAACATTATACATGCACTATATGTCTATATGTACATATGTGTGCATTTGTGTGTGTGCTCAGTCATGTCTGACTCTTTGTGACCCCCATGAACTGTAGCCCACCAGGCTCCTCTACCCATGTAATTTTCCAGGCAAGAATATTGGAGTAGGTTGCCATTTCCTCCTCCAGGGGATCTTCTCAACCCAGCGATCCAACCCATGTTTCTTGTGTCTCTTGCATGGGCAGGCAGATTCTTTACCACTAGTGCCACCTGGGAAGACTATATATGTATATATAAATATACATGTACAATGTGAACATCATTTTTCTTCAACAAATATCTAAAGAACATGCATAACTTCAGACAAAGAACCTTCAAGCTCTTTCCAGGACAGATATGTGGGTCTTGATACAACTAGTTAAAAAATATACTCAGGGCCTCCATGTGCTCCCAACAAAAAGGAAAAACCAACAGAGCTTACGTTAAGTGTATCCCTGGCTTCACGTGGGTTCTTCCAAAGGGTCTCCCACAACCAGTTATACTTATGGACCCTCACGCAGGAAGGTCTCTTAGAGATCATTTTGTGTAATGTCTTCATTTCACAGATAGGAACAAGGATCTAGGGACACTGGCAGCAGAGCTATAACCAGAGTACAGTTGTCTAACCCTGGTGTTTCTGATCTTCTGATTGGCATACACTGCTTCTTCAGCCACTTCTGAATGTCCTAACCACAACAGAGGTGGTTGGGACATTTGGTAAAAACAAAGTAGGTGGATTTGCAAGTGCATTACCTAAAGGTTCTTTTTTATCACTAAGGCAAAACACTTGTAAATCTAGAAGATTTCAGCAGGATGGCAATGTATTATTTGCTGTAAAATACAATCTCTATGATTCAGCAGTCCTCAGATTTGAGAAACTCACGATCTCACTTCTGTAGAAAGGGAGGCACATGAATGCACTGACAACCCCCTCTTTCATCCAGAGTAACACACGTCAGTCAAGGCAGCAAGTGGAATGGGATGGGGAATGAACAAGGTGGAGCACACTGGGAAATGAAGGTCAGATTTCTGGGAGATCTACCAGGCCCCACACAAATATGGTCTGACACTGACAGGCTATTTCATCAATCTAGGTCTGCTGCTCCTCACCTGAGAAATGAGGGTTTGCTCTGAATAACATCTAAACTTCTGCATAATCCCTAAAGTTTCTGATCCAGACTCTGCTATGCTAAGTCGCTTCAGTCCTGTCTAAGTCTTTGCAACCCTAAGAACTGTAGACTGCCAGGCTCTTCTGTCCACGATTCTCCAGACAAGAATACTGGAATGGGTGCCCTCCTCCAAGGGATCTTTCTGACCCAGGGATTGAACCTGTGTCTCCTACGGCTCCTGCACTGCAGGCGGATTTTTACCACTGAGGTACTGGGGAAGCCCATGATCCAGACTATAGTAAGATTGAAATAAAATTGGTGGCTGGTTGACTGAACCCAGCTTGTCATCAATTACAGGTGGAGTAAATGTTGGCTTTTTATCTTTCAGTAAGTTCTAAGTGTTGAAAAGCCTTTGCCTCTACCTAGAAAAGTAATTCTTAAAGTGTGGTCCCCAGACCATCATCAGCATCATCTGGGAACTCACTAAACTGCAAAGTTTTGGATACCATCCAAAATCTACCAAATTACAATTTCTGGAGGTTGACCCCAGAAATCTGTATTGTAACAAACTCTCCAAATAATTCTGTTGCAACCTGAATTTTGAGAATGATTGGCTTGAGATAATCTCTTCAAGTTGCTTAGGACTCTACATTTTGAAGCTCAGCTTCCCTTAAGGAGAGATCAGCATTACTAATTTCATCAGACTGGCTACTGAATAAGGCAGGATAATGTAATTGTTTGAGGCAAGGACTCCAGACCTGAATTTGAATCCCAGCTCTGAAATTTATTATCTATGTAACCTTAGGCAATTGATTTAACTCTCCTGTGCCTCGCTTTGCTCATCTGTAATATGGGGACATGGGCTTCCCAGATGTCTCGGTGGTAAAGAATCCACCTGCCAATGCAGGAGAGCCAAGTTCCACTCCTGGGTCGGGAATATCAACTGGAGAAGGAAAAGCAACCTATTGCAGTATTCTTTCCTGGGAAATCCCATGAACAGAGGAGTCTGGAGGGCTACAGTCTATGGGGTCACAAAAGAGTCTGACAGGACTTAGCAACTAAACAACAACAAAATGAGGATAAATAATAGTACCTACCTTATAAAACTGTATATGGAGTAAATGAGTTAATAAAGGTTGTGTACTTAGAATAGCACCTGATACTTGGCAGGGCCAAGAGATAACTAGTGCTACTATAAGTAAAAACCATTACTATTACTGGAGCTTTTGCCTTTCTATTTACTGTTGATGCTTTTAACTTATTGCCCATAAAAAATATATCTTAATCTTGAAACTGCTCTATTAAGGCCAGTAGCAATTTCCTGACTGCCCCTGGCAATAGCCAGGAAGTGGCCTGGTCCTCTTCCTGAAGTGTCTGTGGTACAGCAGACTTCCTCATCATCTACCTTCAGTGACAACATCCTGTCTTGGTTCTCTTCCTGGCTCACTTCTGAAAGTAAGTTCTTAGCTACACACAACTTCCTGTCTTTCCTCAAATATACACTCCTTCTCTAAGATATCTGTTGCTATCATTTTTGAGTAATCATGGACTCTTCCCTCTCCCCTTTGCCACATAGGAACAGTATCCTTTTCTTTCCACCTACAAAGTTCACCAGCCCATACATACCTGGTTGTAAGCAGATGCCCCACTTCTGATCATATTCGTAATTTAAGGTAGTTGCACACCATGGCCCACTGCGACCTCCATCAAAAATGCACTCATGATGCCAGGTCCCATTAACTAAGAAGGGAAATTCACAAGGTCTCCCAAAAGAGTTCCCATCTCTAGTATAGATCTCTGTGGGTTGGGGAGAAAGTAGAGGAAAAAAGAGTTAAAAACTAGATAATCAGCTTTAGTTAACTACCTTCTAAAACCATTTTGAAAGATGTTTTCATACTTATGAGAACACAGTATCTAGGCGGGCTGCACCATGTGGAAATTCAGAGCACGGATGCTGGTTCCCTCACTGACCAACTGTGTGGCTGTGGGCAAGCTCTCCAACATCTATCAGTCTCAGTTTCTGCATTTGAAAATTAGGAATAATGATATCAGCTCATGGGGCTGTTCATGAGATTCAGTGAGATGATCATGTAAAGCTCCGTTTATTGTGATGAGGAGCTAAAAGATCCTGGCTTTATCACGTAAGGATAAACTGACTACTCTGGAAGGCAGAGAAAGTCACCAAAAGGGGTGTCTGCTTGAGATGAAACCTACATTCTATTTTCTTCAGTAAGAGTGAGGCCAGCAAAATACCTTGGAATCACTGAGGCTGGGTGTGGGCTTTGAAACCAACTGTGGAGTTTGATGCACAAATAGCCCCACTGTTACAGACTGGTGGTAGAATCAAAGCTGGGGGTTTTGAGGAAGTAGGAGAAAAGACTGCTGAGTTTCTCAGCAGTCTCTTGGAGAGGGAAAGGACATGGTAATTCAGGTTATGAAAGAAGAACCAGAGTCAGCAGGGCAGTCATGGAACCAGTTGGTGGCCAGCAAGGTAGCAAAACTAGCCTTTCTTGTTAACAATTTTTCCTTGGTACATGGAGAGGAACTAAAAAACAATTCCAACTTCAAATATACCTGGAAATGCTAGAAGAAGTGCTAAATACTTATGTTGGTAACAGTCCCTTTGGAGAGGTATCTTATAGAACAGCTAACCCTATAACTATTTCGGTCACTTTTTTCCATAATTTGTTTAAAACCATGGTTGTTATCAGATCAAATAATGACTATTATAGGTAAAGCATAATGATCAGATTTTTATCATCATTTATCATGCTAACTGGGTCCCTCAAAATGTCTCACAGATTTGCTTAAAAGGGTGTTTAAGATAGAATTTGATTCCACATTCTTTATTATTCTCAATTGCTTGTTTAACTGAAATGTGAGGCTTAACAGTTTAAAATGTATTAAGCAGCAGTGCAGGAAAATAATGTAGATGTTTTTATTTGCAAACAATCTTTTAAGGATTTTGGTTTTGTTTTCCTCTGATATACAAATGGTTTTGAACAGTATACTTTGGTTAAAGAGCAATTTGACCTTATATTTTATAAGGATTCTACTTATTATCTACGTTTTATTTTTAACCATGACAAAACTCCCAATAGCACATGACTGATTTCTCTTCCCATATCATAGCACTTAAAAGGAGAGTCCCTGAGCACAATGACTATAATTTGTAGAATCATGAGGTTTATTTTTTTGGTAAAACTTGTAAAAGTGCTTTCACTTGCTCTTTCCCACAAGCCCACAAGATCAGTGGGGCAAGTATTACACTTGTTTGTGAAATCCCCGTTTTTGCAGAGTCGTTACGTGAAACATTGAGCCATTCAGCTGTGACAGGGATCAGAACTGGCTCTCTCCTTGAGTCCCTGACATATAAGGACAACTTGTGATATCAATGGCTGCCTTCTCAGGCTTCAAGTTAGTGTCATAGCTCAAAACTGGGCTTCATTTAAAAAGCTCTCCTGTTCACAATACATTTTGAAGAATGATAAGCATATAACAACCACTGCAACAGCAGCAGCTAAATTATGCTAATTATTCACAAAGACTTTTATTCTTACACATTCGATGTTATTGGACCTCTTAAGTCCCAAGGGTCTCCCCAGAGAGACAGGCTTTCCTAAGATACCCTTTGAATGTATGAATTTTCGATGATGGCAGCCTTAAAACCACAGCTTACTTTGCAATAGGCACACATCTGTGAAATGAGATGCTTACATAGAAAACTAACATTAACCTCTTTGGTAGCAAAAGAAAAAAACAGCTTCAATATTTAAAGAGCTTGGCAGACTTCTAAGTTGCTTAGAATTCAGACACTTCTATAGGTTCCCCACCACTGAAAGTCTACTTCCTCTGTGTGATTCATCAAACAATCAAAACTGAGGTGTGACAGTGAGGCCAAGATATCCTAATGATATAAATGCATATGTGGATGCCAGTCAAGAGCAATTAATTCATCAAAGTTATACAGCAAAAGTGTTTCCTGAGAGGAGCATGGCTCACACAAGACAGGGGTAAGGAGGGAGGCAACCCAGAACATAATGACAGATAAATGGTTTTATATTAGGAGTAAAAAAATTTATATAGCAGAAGCCAAGGGAAAAGTAAAGAAGCTATATTTGGGGAATGTCATCCTGGTTTTGAGCCTTAGCTTTGCCGTAACAAGCTGGGTTACCTTGAACTTCACTTTGTTGGACTCTGGTATCTTATCTTTCTTATTCGGTACAATTAAACAAGAAGGAGGGGGCGAGGTCCAATATGATAAGTTTGAGAGAGCAGACTTAGAGAAAGTCTCTAACTTAAGACAGCAGTCTCCAACCCAAGAACAAGAAGGGACTACAAAATTTTAAAAGAGTAAAATTGCCAGGACTTAATATTTGACTACATTTGAATGGTGGGAGAGAAGAGCAGAGGAACTCTAGGGTGACTTGTAGATTTCTGACGTGCAACTTGGATGGTACCTGTCACCTGGAGAGGAGTGGAGAAGAGGCAAGTTTGGCCCTGGCGTCAGTGCAAATGAAAACTCAAGATACATGCTGATAAGTCAGGACTACATGCATCTTGTCTTAGGAATTTCTAAGTTTCTTAGTTGGATATTTAGTTTTTAAAATACTGTATTTGATAAGGGCGGGCTCTTGCTGGTGAGCACTGTTCAGCTTTCTCTGGGGGTGATGCCCTAGGTGGGTTTTTAACCTTTTTTGTGCCACTGATAACTCTGGCAGCTATGTGAGGCATGTGAACCCCTTGTCAGAAAAATATTATAAATGCATAAAATAAAACACATAGGATTATTTAAAAAAACTAGTTATATTGAAATGAAGGCATTTGGAGGACTGAGGGAATTTATAATTACAACTATGTCCATCAGTTAGGAGCAAAAGACGGAACCCGGCCAAGAAAATTATTGTTTCTGATCTTTGAACAAATATAATGAAACAAGCTAAATCCAGTTCAAAAGGCAATTTCCTTGGTTCCATGTTTTCTCTTGGCTGCCAAGTGAGAGAAAGGCTTTTATAGCACAAAATTTAAGCTTGCCATTTTTAAAGTGGTATCCAAAAAGCAATTGCTTTTTAAGGTTATGAGGAAGGTGGCTAGCAGAAGCAGACTTTTCAACTACTCAAGGGTCAAGGACTGACGAAAAGGAAAACCCCATCTCTGATTCTCGGACATTTCCCATAACAGCAGAACCTGACATCTCAGAAGCTGCTGCACCCTCACTAGGAAATGGAAAGAGGTAGTTCCTCCAGGAGAAAAACCTGTTCAGGTACAAGAAAGATGGGGGGCCAAATTTAGCTTAAGAGAAGAGGAAAAAATCTCTGTAAAGCTATGTAAATTTACAAAGAAGAGCACACATAAGATAACAATTAAGACAAAGATAATATAATGAAACATATATAAATGTATATAGATAGATACCTACACATTCAACATTTGATATAATTTAGAGCAACATAATGGAAAAAGATTTGCTTGCGTGAGAGCTAATTTACATTTAGAGGTTTAAAAGATAAATCTACTCTTTCCTTTTAAACTCAAAAATTCATTATAACTGAATCTCTAGACTCAAAGTTCATGATCAGTGCCCCCGAAGGCAAAGGAAGACAGTTCCAGACATACGATGGTATGACATACAACTTTCTGACTTTGTGACAATATGAAAGTGATACCTAGTCAGTGAAACTGTACTTCGAAGTTTGATCTTTTCCTGGGCTAGCAATATATGGTACAGTCCTCTCTCTGATGCTGGGTAGTGGCAGCCACAGCTCCTAGTCAGCCACACAGTCACGAGGGTAAACAACTGACACACAGCCATCTGTTTCTCACTTTCAGTACCGTATTCAATAAGCTACATGAGGTATTCAACACATTATTATAAAATAGGCCAGGCTCTGTTTGAGGTGGCTTTTCCCAACTGTAGGCTGATGTAAGCATTCTGAGCACATTTAAGGCAGGCCAGGCTAAGTTATGATATTCATTACAAGTGTATTAAATGCATTTTCAACTTATGACATTTCCAATTTATGATGGGTTTATTGGGACAAAACAACATTGTAAGTAGAGGAAGATTTGTATTCATATACTTATTTTGGAGGCAACTGAGGAAAAAGTCCACTCTTATAATACTGAATCATAAATACAGTGTGATAGCCATGCCAAAATAAAAAATAAAGCCACACAATACTCTTAAAAGTTTTTCCATTACATCCCAATCTGCAGACAAGAAAAAAATTCATTTCCTTTTTTTTTTCCTCTTTCTTCTTCTTCATTTTAAACTTAGAATAGAGTCAACCTTATTAGGTTATTTGACTTTTATCCTGTGTAGGGGACTTCCAGTTACTCTAACATTTTCTTTTCTCTGGAAGTCAGGATGTAATCATGGAAAGTACATATGCTGAGGAATCAGAGATGTCAAACCCCCAGGTGCCACAGAATGGCTGTGAAACCTCTGACAAGGCACCTAACTTCTCCTACCCTTTCCTGTGAAAGTGGGCAAATAGCACTGACCTCAGAGACGCCCCTCAACATTACTACTAAGTGCCTAGAACTAGAGGCCAGTTCACTTGACTCACCAGTGTTTGACTCTAAGTGTGATCAGAGGTACACGTATAAAGCTACTTGCACCAAATACAGCAGCAAATAAGTCAGAGGCCCTCTCCAGGACTCACCGTGGTAAGGCTGGGCACATAAGCTTTCCTCTGAGCCTCCCTTCTTCCAGACATCCGATGAATTTGTACTCGCTATGGCGTGTCCGCCCTTCAGAGCCAGCTGGTATTGGGCAGCCCCGTAGAGAGAGTGGTGCTCACATTTCCACCACAGCATGGCACTGGAGTCGCAGCTGAACATTCTCAAGGAATCTGCGGGTTTGGTAATATCTAGGCCAAGACACTTCTGGGACTGCAGATGAAAGAGCCGATGCTGGGACACCCACTTCCACAACATGTCCTTGGTTTCGTCACAGTCCTTTGCCACTATCCAGTCGTTCAGCGGAGTGATGCACTTGCCTGTGTTTTCATTGACGATGCTGAATGGATCATTACCTGAGACAAGACAGGCAGAAAAGACATTTCAGGATTCTGAATTATGTGGCCCATGTGCCTTGGCCCCGCTTGCCAAGGGGAGTGAGTCTGAGCGCCCCCAGACTGTTAACAGCCTCCTAGCTGTCTAAACTGTAATGTTCTGCACAAGGCTGGAGGACAGTGGGGGCCAGAGAGGCAGTTCAGTGTAGGATTAAGAGCGTGGGCTCTGGGGCCAGTTTACTTGGCTTCTTAATAGTTTGCTCTGCTACTTACTGGCCGTGTGATCAGGGTGTCCTTTACCTGCTGCGCATCAGCTTTTTCCTTTGAAAAACAGTACTTCACAGGGTGGATGTGAGGATAAAATGAGCTCAAACATGCAAAACACTTAGAATAGTATACATATTTGTTATTGTCATTCAGTGAGATCTCCTCCTTATTTAATGAGATGAAGAAGCTCCTTAGAGCTTCGTTAGATAAGTGGCCTGTAGTCAATGAAAAATGTCCTGAACTCTTTCAGGACACGATTGTGTCCTGCTTGCACTTTGGCTACTACAGCAAGGTAATTACTACATGACATTAATGTGTCTGAGAGGAGACTGGGTAGAAAAGTGGGATAAAGGGATAAGAAGCGATGAAGGTCTGGGTTCTGAGTGTAGGGAGACCTGTGCCCAGCTCCACTGTCACACCTCCAGGAGGTGACAGGAAGGCCCTGGGGAGGGGATGTGGGCACTGACCGTCTGAACCACCCAGGGAGGTAAAACGTGAGCTCCAGGAGCCACCTGACTCACAGGATTCAAGACCCAGTGGGTTTGGACAAGGGGAAACTCAGAAGGAACCAGCGTGAGCGGTTACTTCAGGGCAGGATCTCCCTGAGTGTTCTCTGGGCAGTTTTGCATGAGCTGGGGAAGACCTCAGTAGTGACAGAAACTGAATTTCTGTTAACCTGGTAGAATAGGACCTCAGAATAAAATTTAACTTGATTTTATGAAAATAAGGTAGTGCACTGTTTCTTGAACACCTGAGTCTGTAGAGCAAGATTCACATCTGTTATAGCTAATTACAATAGTACAATTTGGTCAGTGCTTTTACAAAGAAACATTTTGTGAAGGTATAGCACAGAACATGTTGATGACCTGAAACAGTTTAGACAAACATAAGCAATCTTTGTCAATGAACCAAAGGGTTCTGGAGAAGGAGCTGTAAAATTTTAGTTCCCAAAACGTACTTTCATTTTGATGCCAGCGTCACATTCAGTGGTTTTTACTAACACTAAACACCTTTTCTAATAATAATTCATAGGCTTGCAGAGTTAAAAATTCTTATACTAAGGACTGGAGGGGAAATTTCACTATGCAAATAACACCTATATGTTTAAGTTCAATTCCAGTTTGAACTTTGGACAGAATTTTTGCTTGTTTTAAATAGGAGTAGCAGCACCAAGAGAAACAACAGGAACAACAAGAACAAATCCTTTAAAACCTTAAGCTATTTCCACTTTCAAGTTGCTATTTTAAAATATTGCTTAGGGTTGCAGTTAGATCTATTTGAATAGCAGCTTCCATCCCTCATTCTTCTTTGACATCACTCTGCTGTTCCCTATCTTACAGACACAGTTTGGGCAGACAGTTAACCAAAAAAAAAAAGGGAAAACATATTATCTTAGAAGATTATCAGACCATGATGTAACTCTTTCCCAATCTATTCCCTCTCACCTCTCTTGTGCTCCGGAGTATCAGGTGCTGTAGCAGAAACAAAGAAGTTGGCTTCTGGTGAGAGTGGGCAGTGCACCCCTGATGGAACTTTCCCCTCTCCTGCTCTGAAATTTCCCTGCTCTCCTTCCTGGGCACTTTGCTCTGTGCTCTTTGACCCAAGATTTTCCAAGTTGCCTTTGCAGAATCCAATGGATTAGCTACAGCGCTTAGAACAGTGGCGAGAGCAGCGGAATAAGGAGTTAGGGGTCCTAGACCGAAGATCTACCTCTACTTCTGGTTAGCTGGGACACCGTGGGGAATTTGGTTAATCTCCCCAGGGTCTTCTCATCCCAAATGTGAGACGAAAGCAGTAGAGTATAAAAATCTAAGTTACTTCCAGTGCTAACACCCTATGCTCCCACTAATTCAGTTTTCCTAGCCTTGCAGGCTTTACAGGTCTCTGCTAAGTTCACTGCATATTGTTTTTGAACAGATGTCCACAACTTTATTACATCAGGCTGGTAGCATTTTAGGTCATTTGAGTTCCATCTGTATTGGGCATGTGCACTTAGGTGACAGTGCTGCCTTATAAGTACTCTGGAAGAGAAAAAAAAATTTACCCTTTCCCATTTGCTTCCCTGGTAACTCAGACAGTAAAGAATCCACCTGCAATGTAGGAGATCCAGGTTCAATCCCTGGATCGGGAAGATTCCCTGGAAAAGGGAATGGCTACCCACTCCAGTATTCTTGCCTAGAGAATTCCATGGACTATAGGAGAGGGTTCCAAAGAGTCAAACATGATTGAGTGACTAATACTTTCACTTTCATTTACTATATGTTTAACTTCTAGGACACCCATGGACTTAACAAGGTTGTAGAAATTCTGAAAGACTATAGGAGAGGTGTGGAGTAGCTATGTTGAAAAGGAGTTGCCAAGCTTCTAAAATCTACAATTGTAGATACCTGTCTCATTCTAAATCTATCTTTTAACCACGTATGTAATATCAATGCTTGACACCTACTGTGATCACTTAGCTAATACATTAATTATTGATATGATTTAAGGAAACTTGTTATTTGCCTTCATATATAATGTGTAAACATTCATACATAATATATAACCTAGGGAGAGTCTTGTAGTCTCATGATAGTTCTTCCTATCTTTCTTTACCCTTACAAAGAAGCTGTTCAGTCTGCTCCAGTCTTGTGACCCTATTGGGAAAGTAGGTTGGGGTGGGGGAGGTCTGGAAAATGTGAAAATAATTTTAAAAATTTGTTAAATAAGGGTCTATGAAATATATCAGAAATGTATTACACTTTGAAACGGTGATTGCAGAGCAATTTATAAAACAGATTCATTACTGATAGCCTTATATTGCATCTTATTCACTTTATACTGGCCCTAAAGGGAATTTTAATATTTACCTACAAATACAATATTGGGACAAGTCTAAAAGATAGAGGTCAATGAAAAGAAGACTCATCACCTCATCATCCCTAGAGCACTTTTAAAAATGTTTCTTTATATAAACATTCTACTGGTGTTTAAGAAGAAATAGCTACATAGCATTATCATAAATTGAAAATGAATTTTTAGACCATCACAGGAAAGCTCTTTCTTACTGTCTGATTAAGTAATTCCTATGTTACAAGACCCAAACCAAAGAGCTTTGCACATTTCAAAGAGAAACTGGACCTCAACATTTTGTAACCCACAGACACATGGAGAGGAGATGGTTTGGGAAGGCAAGAAGGATGAAGACTGCAACTTTTTTAGTTTCAGGGGAACTTCCTGAGCCCACACTGTTAAGCATTTTCTGGAGCTGCTACTACATGTGCAGAATGTACACTAGGAGAGACCCAGAAGTCTGGATTTGCCAGTTCAAAAACAGTCCTAAAATGATGGTTGGGTCCAGAGCAATGTACTAGGAGTCAGAAAGTCATAGAGTTCAGATTGGGTGGTGTGGGCTAATGAAAACCTCAGAAGTCTCTGAAGAATTAGTGTACTTCAAGCTGCTAGCCCTCCAAGGAGCCAAAAAAGCTAACTAAGCAATTGGCATCCTCCCAAGGACACAGAAGTACTTCCCCTGCATCTGAGTATTGGAGACTGCCTGCACAAACCTAGCTGCATACATGTGATGAAGCACACACCATCACCAGCATCATGAAGCTGACATAGTGCCAAACAAGCTACCCAAATGGCTGAGGTTTCAAAATCCCAGTGCTTCCCTCAATAGGGCCACAAGTCTGACTGGAGCAAGTGCTCAAGGTGGGGAAGGATGCAGGAAAACAAACACCTTTGAGGACCTCCTGCAAGAAGAATGGCATTAAGTTAGTGCTCTTTGCTCTTGGTTGATGAGAGAGGCCAGGAATTGGAGAGATTGCAGAAGTTAAGAAAATCTTGAGTTCTATGGGGGACACAAAAGAGATAAAGCAAATGCAGGTGGACACCAATTTAGTGATTGAAAGTCTAGCGTGTTTCCACTACAGTTAGCTGCTGCCATGATCATCTTCTCCCTGGATTATGGGGGCAGGCAGAACAGAATTCTCACAGCAATAAAGGCCTTTTGGTAGTTCCCAATATGGGGGATCAAAGAAGAATGCAGAAGGGTGAATCAAAACAAGGTCAGCGATAAAGTTCTTGACATAGATAAGATGATGCTACTCATGATCTGATCAGACAGTAACTCAGCTTAACTGCAAAGAAAGTAAATACCACAAGCAAACTGAAGTTTTTCAAAAACTCCCTTGACCATCTTTTACTTCCTCATTCTGACATGATGACAGAAGTGGTAGGTGGGGACAGCTCACTAATTGCCTATGAAGCAGCCAGAGGAAGAAACCAAGTCCTCAGCACACCTTTTGCCAAGGCAGAAAGAGAGATTAAAAGCAAACTCCGGGTGCTGCCAAGGGGAGGGGGTGGGGCAGGCACTGCTCACAGCATCAGCTAAGGGTGTCTGCTCCTCGTCCTGCTTCTCAAGTGAGAGGCAAGAGGTCTCTGGGCAAGCAACCTGGGCTCCACTGGGGGAACTTCGGCCTCTGGGGTGGGGGTTGGGGTAAACTTTTGGAGCCCGATCAGCCAATTAGAAGAAAAAGTCGCTGCTCGAGGCATTGAGGGAGGGCATCATATCGGAGTCTTGGCCATAGTCACTGTAGGAGACATGGCTTTTGGACGGGCACCACGAGCAGACTGAAGTCAGAGAATCGCGGTTTCATTCTGGCGCTGTGGGTGGACAGCTCCTGAGTGGCCAAGGGGCGAAGGAGGGCCGAGACAGCGGGATGCGGCGTGAGGTGGGTGAGTGGGTGAGTGAGGGGGCTGTTGAGAAGCCCTAAACCCTAGCGAAGCAAGACTGTAGAGGAAAGGACGAGGAAGGAGCGGGAGTCTCGTTCAGAAAAGACACTCTGGGTGCCTCCCCTACGGTGGACTCCAGGCCCTCCGCATGAGAAAAGCCCTGCGCCTCCTCGGCCCACCCCGCGCTCCTCCCGGACTCCGGAGGGTAACGGTGCGCCTTCTCCCCGCAACCTCCCTTCCGTTCACTTGTCCAGCAGAGGTGACAGGACCCCGGCGCGCAGCCCGAACTCGAACCGAGAACAGTCGGCCGACCCCGCGGCGTCGAGGTCCCTAGCCAGCCGGCCGGCCGGCGGACGCGCCCGCGGTTACCTGAGCGGCCAGAGGGCTCCACCAGGCCGAAACCCTGGAGGAGCAGCATGAGTAGCTCCGCCGCACGGCGAGGGGTTGCCCAGCGCGTCCTCATCCTGAGCCGGCCGCGGCGCTTCAGTCGGGTCCTCGGGGGCACGCGGCACTCAGCCCTCCGGCTGCGCCAGGTCAGCCCCTCCACCGCCTTGGCCCCCAACCCCCGGCCTCCCGGGGCGCCCCGGGCCCGCCCCCGCCGCCCTCGGCCAATGGGATCAGCCCGTCGCGGGTCCCAGGGCGGGGCGGGCGGGGCCCGGAGGTGGCGGGAGGGGCGCCGGCAGGAAGACTGCGCGTAAAGAGCGCTGCGCACCTGCGTTGGGCTGCCCGCCTAGGCTGGAGAGTGGAGCACCGCGCAGACTACCGGGCCAGGGGCAAGTCCTGGGCCCCGCCGCTTCTTCAGTAAAGTTGAGGAGACGCGGCACTGGCTGGGACTTGGCACCGCCCTGGTGGGTGGGCTGCCTAACACACCTCAGTTAGGCACGGGCTTCTTCCTTTCGCGCAGCTGGCCTGGAAAGGCACGCGCATCCCCTCGCACCCAAAAGAGCGAAATGTGCACCCATCCTGTTGCGACTGTGGTCGAGCCAAAGAATTCAGTCGTCCTTGGCACCGCCCTGAGTATCTGATAGTACAAACAAAGGTGAGGTGATGGGTCAATGAGGTTGCACCCGCACTTGTTAAAGTATTAAAAGCAAGAGCTATTTGAGTGATCCTGTAAGACTTCCAAGGATGACTAAGTCGTATAACTGTTTGGCCTTTACAAGTAAGCTCTTTTCATATTAAACAACAATTATAATCCACTAGAAGTGTGGAAGTCTGCCTCCAAAACTGGTCATTGAGAGAGCAGACTTTATCCTCAGCTTGTGAGAACTGATATATCAGTTATATCAGGGTGATCTGAGTTGCCCGTGTACCAAGTCTCTTTAGTCGTATCCGACCCTTTGAGATCCCATGGGCTGTAGCCTGCCAGACCCTCTGTCCATGGGGGTTCCCCAGACAAGAATACTGGAGTGGGTTGCCATGCCTCCTCCATGGAATCTTCCTGACCCAGGGATCAAACCCTAGTCTCTTACGTCTCCTGCATTGGCAGGTGGGTGCTTTACCACTAGCACCAACTGGGAAGCCCCGGGCTCTCATTATAAATAGCTATCACAAATAGGGTGATCTGAGTGTGGACATGAATGTCCTGTATTTTTAAACCTGTATTTACTGAGTGCATGGTGTGTGCCTGGGATGACCTTCCGCCCTCCCGACAGGGTGAATTCTTCCAGAAGGAGGTGAACAGGAAGTTTACCTTTTCCGACTGCAACCACCAAGGCTCGGCTGATGGCTCCCAACTCTCCCTCCACCCTGTTCTCTCCCCAGGCCGTTGCCTTTCGCTTCAGTGTGTATATTGAGCACCTGCCAGCACAGGAAGCTGGGCCCATCCCAGCAGGAGATCAAAGGAGGACGCCCTGCCCACTCCAGCTTAGTGAGAACTGGGGGAGACTGAGGCATGCACAGTTAACTCAGGGCAGAATGAATAGGGAGATGCCACAAAGGCAACACCTCGGCTGGGCCTTCACTAAGTCATTCCCAACTCTTTGCAACCCTATGGAATGTAGCCCGCCAGGCTCCTCTGTTCATGGGACTTCCCAGGCAAGAATACTGGAGTGGGTTGCCACTTCCTTTTCCAGAGGATCTTCCCCGACTCAGGGTTCGAAGCGGGGTCTCCTACTTTGCAGGCAGATTCTTTAGCATCTGAGCTACCAGGGAAGCCATGGGTAATAGGCAGACACTTGACCAGGCACAGCTGGTGGGAGGAACATAGTGACAGAACGAGGCAGGAAAAGGCAAAACAGTGTCAGAAGACAGTCAAAGAGTCTAGTGTGGTTGACCTGCAGGATGCAGGTGTGTGTTGACAGAAGCTGTCGTGGGACCTAAGTGGAAATGACAGCAGAAAGGTGAGGTGTGGCTACTTTGTGAAGTGCCTTGAACGTGATATTAAAGATGTTGACTTGATTCTCTGCGGAACAGGCTGTGTAAAGTTTTGGGTAAGGCAATCTGTTGCTGCTCTGATTCCCTCCGCACCTGTGACTGCTTACCTTTCTCATCCTGTCTAGCTTGGAGCTCCTTGAGAGCAGTGATCTGATCTTCTTCATTAACACTGAACGCCAGGCCTGTCCCAGAGTGAGCTCTCACTGAATGTTAGTTTACTTTATTAATGAATGCCTGGAGTTAGTTTAGGGCTGTGTGAGCTCCAGCTTGCACAGTCCTGCAAGTTTCTCAGTTGACCTCGCTGCCAACCCTCAGGCAAGTGAAGGCTTCTAAACAGTTTGAAATATGCCACCTTTCCTTTACTCACATCCTTTCAGTGCTACCTGCTGATAGCAGAGATTGCTAAATGGGAGTTCAGGGGGATTGTGGTGAACCCCTGAAATTGCATGCAGCTTTATGAATACAATTTCCTTCTTTTCCTTTTTATTTTTCAATAAAGAGGGGTCCAAGTCTTTCTTTGAGAGTCTCAAAGAAAGTCACTCCTTCAAAAAAGGAAGAAAATTCCATGTAAGATAAAGCAAGCCCCTCCGTGACCCAACCCTTTGTCTTTAATTACCTCCTACGTCACTCCTTGATTCAAGCAACCTGTCTAAATCTGTCCTGCCTTTTCCTAGCTCTGCCCATATATTTTATTTTCCCCTATCAGGAATGCCTGTTTTCTCTCTCCCTTGTCTTAGTTTTCGACCTCTCCAGTTAAGGCCCTGCTCAAATCTCATGTTTTATATAAAATGTTTCTAAGACGGTCTCTAGCCCTTGGGGATTCCAAACATCTGTATAAGGTACATTCTGTTCATTTGGTACTTAAAGCATGGTACCTCCTGCAGCTGTTTTTTTCTGTAAGTACATGTGCATAGACATTCCACCCAGGTTATAGATCCTAAACAAATATTTATTGTCTATGGTGACAGTAGAAACAGTGTATCCTTTAAGTCTCAACTTGAATGTTATTTCCTTGAAATCTTTCTTAACTCTGCAGGCTGGTGAGCTTCCTCTGTGACAGGTTCTCAAGTGCATCCCACATTCATCTTGATAGCACTTAGCAACAGCTGGATTAAATAATTATATGCCTGCTCATTTGTTGAATGAATGTCTCCCTCCCCAGGCCACAGGATCCTGGATGTGGTGACTGTATTTGTTTTAGTCACTTCTATGTTCCCAAGTACCTAGCCCATGAGATGCTGAATGAATAAAAGAATAAATACCTGATAAATGCCTCATAAAGGATGAATGAATAAATAAATAAATACATGGAATGCTCTGATTTCTCTTCCTCTCATATAAATCGCTTGTCTTTTAAATACATGGTAAATGCCTCATAACGGAGAACAATGGCAACCCACTCCAGTGTTCTTGCCTGGAGAATCCCAGGGACGGTGGAGCCTGGTGGGCTGCCGTCTGTGGGATCGCACAGAGTCGGACACGACTGAAGCGACTTAGCAGCAGCAGCAAATGCCTCATAAATGATTCAGACAACAGGAGATCTAAGTATTTAAAGAGGCAGAAGTCTGCTAGCGTGAAAGGGAGGGTCTTCAGGCCTTGGATGAGTACCATTCAGTAGATAGTAGATATAGGGGAACACTCCAAGCTGGTGCATGATGTGAGCAAAATAATAGACATCTGCCTTCTGCTGGGTGTCAGGCCCTTTTGCGGAGCATTTCCCATGCGCTCTATTATTTAATAATCATTCTATGAAAGTGTTACTATTATCCTCACTTCACTAGTATTTGTTACTATTGTCTTCACTGTGGAAACTGAAATAACACAGACAACATCAGCAACTTGGTCATGGTCAGTAGCCATAGAGAAAGTACCAAGACTACATAAATGTGTGTGATGGTTACTGTTATTTTCTCCCCATTTACAATTAGGGAGAGGGCCTGTTTTTAATTATGAAGTATATATCATACTTAAAAAAGAGTAGCTATGCTTGTGGGCCTCCACCTTACTCCCACACAGAAATAACACTCCTCTGAATTATGTTCTTTACACTTTTCCATATGTGATTCATTCCTTAAACAGTATATATAACTTTGCGTGTTTTTGAATTTTATGTAAATAGGATCATTTAAAGTTTTTTCCTACTTAACCTTTTTGGCTCAAAATTACACCTGTGACATTCATCTGTGTTAGTGTGTGTAGGTATAGTTAATTCATTTTTATGTGGTATTCCATCATAAGAATAAAGCACACTTTATCCATTCTCCTGTTAGTAAACATTTAAGGTAGGTTTTAGCTTGGTGGTTTGCGGTCCTTAGCAATGCGCCTATGAGTGTTTTTGTACACAACTCCTGTGCACATTGCTGGATTTCCCTGGAGGGTAAATCTTAGAAATGGAATTGCAGGAGCACAGAATATGTTCAGAACCAATGTTATTACGATGCCAGTGTGCTCTCCAGTCTGCACGCCCAGTGATGTGCACATGTGTTCCCACTGCTGAACATTTCCATCAACACTTGGCTTTTTAACGTTTTTGGTGTGAGGTGAAATGGTATCTGATTGTACTTTAAAGTTCCATTTCCCTAATTACTAACGCGGTTGAACACGTTTTTCTGTGATTTGGTTATTTGTGTTTCCTTTTCCAGTACTTGTACAGGTTATTCATTTGTTTTCTCTAGGACCCATTCCCTGCCCTTCCCCACCTTGACTCCCAAGGGGCTGCTTGCATCGCTTGGGTTCCCTCACCCACTGCCTTCTGATGAGGTTCAGCTAATGGGAGTTCCGGCAAGAGATAGAAGTTTGGGATGGGGAGGCCCCAAGGTGTTTCTCTCCTCGCTGCTTTGCCACTGCATCTAAGCAGTGCTGTGTCTCCTCTGTGGTTCCGGCTCTGGCCTAGAGGTCTCATCCTTTGTGGTCCAGTTCCCACCGGAAACCCCTGCTTTGTTTCCAGCTCCTTTTGGATGGTTCCTTCTATAAGGTTCTAGTTCTATTGAGCTGCCTAGCATGGGTTTTGTTCTCCTTATTGGACCTTGGTGACACTGATTCAACTTACCAAAAATTGTACCTGAGACAGTATCCAAAAATAAGTAA